TTGCTCTTCAATTGGGCCAGCAGTTGGGGAAATCTGCAATACACTGACCTACTATTCCTTTGGTATCATGCCAATTACTATTCCACTAGCCAATAGTCTGAGCAAACAAAAGTATACTGACCTACTGTTCCTTTGGTACAGTGTCAATACTATTCCACTGGGCCAATAGTCTGAGCAAATAGTAATATACTGACCCACTGGTCCCTCTCTGATTCACTGGCGGCTGCTCTCTTGCTCATCAGCGTCTTGCCCAGTCTGACCAGCTTCCAGAGCAGGGCCGGCTGGGCGCCGGCGTAGGGACCCAGGTAGTTGCACATCCTGAAGGCCGGGCAAAGGTCTAGGATCCGCGCTGGGACGGCTACCGACTTGCAGCCAGCTGGAGGGGAGAGGACTATGCTCTTCGCTCCCTTGGGCATGCCAAACCTTAAAAACAACAAGAAAAAAAACCAAAGGAAAAAAAATGCCAGAATATTTACCAAGATATCTCTGTTTTCAAGATGATTTTGAGCAGTACAAATGCACAGCATCAATACAAATTCTGTTAGCTACGGTCCTACAAACCCACTATTTGAGAGAAATGGAAATTTTGGTATTTCATATTTTCCAATTACAAACCAAATACCTTGTGTTACTTTGAACTGACTCATAGTAAATTTCCTTCTGGGGAAAACCTTAATGGTTATGAACAGCAAGAGTTACAGAATGAAAGTCAGTGGAGATTGATGTTATCAGTAAAGAGAGTAAAGGAATTGTCTTTTCGTGTCCAACTACAAGATGCCTAATCACAAATGACATTTCACTCACTGCTTGTACAGGGGATCGATCAGTGCACCGACCAGGTCACAGAGGGCGTTGGCCACAGGCCGTTTAGCTACGGCACAGTACTGGGGCAGCCTGTCAATCAGCTTCTGGGCGTGGGACCAGTCACCGATCCTCAGCAAGGCTTCAATCAAGCCCAGTTTCTGGTTATCGGGGGGCTGGTCGGAAAAAAGGGAACAAGAAGATTTACAAACACAAAGCATTACAACTGAATACCTCCCAAGCCCCACTCCCCTATTCTGGCCTCGGAGAGTTAATTGATTTCCTTTGCAACTCCTTTAAAAAATGTTGAGTTTTTTCTTTTGAACTCAAAACAGGTTTTGTTGGAGTTGGGCCTTTCTTTCAATTAGGTATTTAATCAGTCTACAAGGCCCATCTTGCAAGGAAACCTAGGTCAAGAGAAGATCTTACTTGTAATCTTTTGCTTCCTTTTTGCGTGCGTATCATCTGCCAAGAGAAAACTAATAACATTTTACCTGTCTCTCTTCTGCTTTTATTGAGATTTCATTCCACACGAAGCCCAAGTCTTTTACCACAGAAAGCTTGGCAAAGAGTTTTAGTTGGTTTTTCTTTCTGCCCTCCTTGTCTATCCTCACATGATCAATACAACCAAGTCGTACTAACGGAGACCTACAAGCCAAACCGATGGCCTGGCATTTCCATCTTTTCCTTGATTCCTTCTTCCTCTGCTGCTTTCCCTTTCCAATGACAAGCATCCAGTAGCAAGTCCTCTCAGGGAAGCTAACAAGCCATCGGCGAGGGACTGACCTTGTCATCTTTGTTCTCTTTCTTCTCCTTCTCCGCCTCCTCTTCCTCCTTCTCTCTGTCCGACAGGAGAACGATGGTCATCTTGCGAGCGAACTGGCGGGCCTCGGTGATGGACTTCTTGTAGCCCTGTATGATGTCTGTGTCGGCCGGCATCAACTAGAGAAATGGAACAAATGACCAAATGCCGAGGTTGTCTTCAAGTTACCCGTTCATTGTATGATTTGCACAAGCTTCCAGGAAAAACTGAACAATTTTATGTGCCGATGGACTCAAAAGCACAGATCTGACAGTGCTTTCTTGGAGCCACACCTTAACCATCAGGTTCTGTGGGATTTCTCTGTATTTCCCCTTTACAGGATTTAAGGACTTCTGAAATTTGATGGTTTATGAAATCTGCACTCCAATTCAAAGCCAAGAGTGCGCTTTTACGATTACTCCGCTTCAGGTTTCAGTCACTTTACTTTAGACAACTTTGTACGGTTTCCAAATTATTCAAACCCTAGATCAGACGGCATCTAAACGCATGACAATCAGAGCTAATAATGTGCGACCCGCTCTGCCAAAAGGTGTATTAAGTCGTGCAATGCAAAAACGTGAAATAGCCCATTCCATGTGCCGAGAGTGAAAATATTTGGAAAGATTTTGAGGCCAATTGCTTGACCAGAAAGCCTCTGTTACTAAGGACAACCAAGAGTGTGTCAAATTTAAGTTTAATGTTTGTGTTCGTCAAGTTTAAAGGGCATTATCTCAAAAAGCACGTGTGATAAAATGAAATTATATGAACATGCAAATGGCAAACAACTCCAAAACGCAAAATGCCACTGGGATGAATTATATATCAAATGAAAGCTTAGGATGTGGGCAATTTGACATATAACTCAAATTCCAAAAAATGTGACATATTACACCTTTTTGCAGAGCCGGTCACAGTTTCACAAATGGCATTCCCCCATATTTGTGACTAAAATGCACTTACATGTGGATATAGGTTATCCAAGTCAACCAGTTCATGTTGCAGTAACAGGGCAGCTAGTCTATGCAGAGATTCTGGGGTTGTGATGTTCTCTTCCTGTGGTTGAAGTTTGTATGTTGAGATGCAAACATTCTTTAGGAAGTATTTAAATTTCTTTTTCAAATTACATAAAAGAAAGCATAATGCTACAGTAGACTGGAATTCACAGTTGAGGCAAGATTTTGATTCCACGAGGCAAAATCAACCAGTTTTTCAGAGCCTTTTATTCAGTGACCGACGGCAATTTTCAGATCGTGAGGACAGACAGCACCTGTAGAAGACGGATGGCAGTGAGACAAGAAATCTCGACCACAAAACTCAAGTTATGTCGGCCTTGGCAGAAAGCATGATCTGCGTTGTGATATCAGCAAAACTGCAATATCTACAAAGAGCTTTGGGCAGGGTCCGTCAGGAAAGTAAGCTCTGAACATCTTGATGCTGTCCTTTCCCATACTTATGACAGATTGGGTAAACACTTCCTAGCATGTGGAAGGAAATCAATATTTCTTTACAGCTTTGAGCTGGAAGTCACACAGATAAATGGGTTATTCTATAAATTTGGGATACCGACACATTAAATTTTTCTGTCTGTTACACCTGACCCGTGTAATTTGGCAAGAGATATCAATGAAATTGATTTCAAACTATTTCTAATTGTTTGGCCGGTAATGTGCATTTCTGTATCAGTTTTCGAATTTCACGAATGTGTTATAAACTAAACTTAATGAGGACAGAATAAAAAATGGACTCCAAATTTATAGAAGGACCTGAATTTCTTTGCGATTTTCACCTTGTAGAAGTGGAACTTGAAGCCCAGCATGTGGCAGATTGTCAGCGGCTCGCACATGTAGTTCTGGAGCAGAGGGACAAACAGCTGGTCCATGTGTGGGGTGCATTCAAATGCCTCCATGATAATGTCCAGGACGCGGTTGGGGTCTAGATCAAAGCAACCTGTAGGGGAGAACAAACAGACGAGAGTGTAATTCTGTGACAGAGATCTTATCATGGGGGAAAATGAGAGACGTATGACTGACACTTAAGCATTCTTCCCACGATGCGCTGGGCACTTATGTGAAGATAACATACGGTTGTGCACATTCACATGAAAATTGGTCACTGGTGCTCCGCAAAATTCCATTAAGAACGTCACTGAATACGACACCAGCTGCCATATTGGATTCTAACCAGCCAGCCAATTATTAGCAGGCTTGGTGATCAGGGGTGAGATACTTGCACAGACGTTAGGTTACGAGTTTGAATCCCAATATACGCTTGTAAAGATTTTTGTTGCAAAGTAACACTTTCAGCTCAGCAGCTTTTAGCACTCACCTATCAGAGACTTGATACTTTCCAGCAGTTGCTCGTGGTTGCTTTGGCTGGAGGTCACCTGGGCTAGCTCTGCCCCCAGCTTGCTGTACCCCTCGCTCTCCTCACGTAGAAGGTTGAACTTCTGCTGCTTGTAACTGCAAATCAGAAAAACCGGCCCAAGCACAGTCAGGCAATCATTTAGGGTTTCTTGATACGTTTTAGTATCGCACACAGATAGGTATGCCACCTCCGACTTCAACACAAGGTCTCTGTGCACAAAAGCTCCCTCTTGGGTGAGGAAGAGAGAGGCCGGGCTGATACCTGACTGCCATTGCTGCTGTGTGCTTTGCAACCACACTAGAACCTTACAGTATTATGTAATTGCTGATGATAATCACTTGTCCACACTCGGTACCATACAATATCAGTCTTTGCGTCTAGAGGTATACTGCTTATAAGGATTGCAATGTTATGCGAAAAGGAACCTGTCCAGACATAAAAAAAGGTTGAATTCATAAAACAATTTAACTTATGGGGGAAGAAATCTGAAACACTAAGGTGGTCTTTGGTGACAGTATGGTTACTTTCATTCACATCTTTGGCTGCTTTCAACTCATCTGTTCACACAGCTGTGAACGTCTACCCTGAGCGGGACTGAGAGAGGGCGCAATTTTCCAAACAACAGAGGCTCTTTTGTTGGGAAGTGCACTACAGCGGTTCACGAGCAACTATGAAATGCATGTGCTACGGTCACATCACTACCACCAAAATGAATATCCCCACCGTCATAACTCTTTCCAACCAATGAGTGACAACAGCACACTGTTCCAAATACAAAGCAAAGGTATTCCTAAAAAGTGACATTGAAGCATGCTTTAGAACCAAACACTAAAAAGCAAGAAATCTTTTGATCCGTTTGCATGCCTGTCAGCTACTGTAAAGCCACGCAAGCCTCTTGAGTATTTACTTTTTTTTGAAGGTCTCGTGTACTTACAATAGTTTGGTTTTCAGTCGGACGTATTTCTGTTTGAAGGCATCCTTGGTGATGACTTTGATTTCGCCCAGGGTTTCATACTCCATGCGTTCCTTCAGAACTGGCCCAGTCACAAAACTCTACAAAAACAAGGAGATGCTGTCAAAATTACTAAGAGCTTAAAAAAAGAAGTAGGAGGCTTGCCTTGACACAAATCTAAGGCCGTGTCCGAAACGGGCTTCCAGAGCTACGGCTAGGCCTATTTTCTGCGTGTCTCCACACATTTCCAATGGAACAAAGACCTAGACCTAGCTCTTGACAAGAGATTCGGCCTAAGTTGCCTCCCCTGGATTCAGACTGCAGGTCTGGTAACCATAATACCAAAAAACTTTCCCATTTATCTTTGAGATGTGTCCTGTCCTAAAACCTGGCCCAGGAAGCTGTATGAGCAAAAATATTGGCAACCCACCCACTCCTGATGACTTTAGTTTTGGATGCTTGTTCTGCATTAGTTAAAATACATGAAATATCGATAGAAACTCCTTTAAGCCAGAGCATCTTGGTTGATTTCAATATACAAAAATAACCCTTTTTGGTACTGGCTAATCCATATGCCAGTATATTTCACAATCAGAGATCTGTTGTTGGTTCACTGACACAAAAACCAGCCTGATGGATGAACCAAACCAACACAGAGATCCCTTATCAAGATCCATAACAGTGTGAAACATGCAGGCCTCCGTACGGAGGTAATGTCTATGCCACTACGTGGGAGCTTGCTGAAGTTTTTTTTTCAACTTACGACACATTTTCTCAGTAGCTCCACAAAGTTCTCCCGCTCTGATTTAGCCCCCGTTTCGGTCTCTGGTTTGCATTCCTGACTTGTTGTCTCAATATCTGGAAGAGCAAACAAAAGGAAGTGCCGCTGGCGCATTGCCCAATATACCAAAGGGTCATGGTGGTGTTTTTTGGTACAGAAGGATTTGATGCTTCACACCATGAAGCATGCATTTTTCAAAACAGCGGGCAGCTTTCTGGAAATAAAGACACATTTTTTTCAGAGGCACGGCGTAGTTACACTACACAACTTTGCATCAATCAATGCTCAAAAAAACTGCACAATAACTGTTTTGTTTTTATCCTATCCCCTCTGTTTGACCCTCTGTGTCTTGTCTTTTAACCTGAAGTCGGGATATATCTATGGCGTCCTAGAAAGTGCTGAGTAAAAACTTACCTACAATACTGAAGATGTCAGCTAACAGAGAGCTCACACCGGCATGCATGTGCTATGCAAACAAACCAGAACGTTTCAATTCATTTTAATCACTAATACCTGAATGTTGATACGTAGCAGAAAATGAAAGTGAAGAAATAGCCGAGGCCATTTGTATTTTGGTCTGAAATGATCAAAGTAAATAAAAAAAAATTTTCTCTTTCATTTTGATCATGCTTGCCATTTCAAAATGGCGGAAAACAAAACCAAACAGCCAAGCCCCTTGGCAATTTCTCCTGAAATGATCACAGCAACTTGTTAAAAAATACATATATGTTTGTCTCATCAAAACAGCATTTACAACTCTCAGAAACCAACTCACTGATCTTTTTAGATTTACAATTAAATAAAGCCATGATGCCAATTTTGGGCTTAATCTCCAAGTCACACTTCATGCAGCTGTTGAGCTTTGCATTCCAAGAGGAATGAACATTAGGAGGAGGCCATTTACCGCCTGCCAATGCCCTCTGCTGGGCACTGACTTATTACTAGGGAAAAATTACCCCAGTGCACTCCTGAAAAACAAAAAGTTGAACAGTATTCCAATATCTCAGTTCATTAAGGCTTTTGGCCCTTGCTTCGGATACCATCATGACCTCAGCTAACCCCTCACGCTTTGTCAAACAACTGAGCTACTGACAACTCAGCCACCCCGAATCATGGACTTGCCACTGAGGCAGCATTTGGAGTCGACTTACCGCGACATCACTGAGGGCCACCGCTGCCACCTCTGGCTTGATGGTGCCCTGCAGACACTGCCGGATGAAGCCGTACAGGGCATCGCGCAGTCCTGCCATCAAGCAACAAGGCAGTGCTGTCAATCATGCATTCTTTTCAACAGGGACAGCCTTCACGGCCCATGGCCAACATACACCACGAGACTAAAAACACGAGACCCACTGTCATGGGCAGTGTACGGCGAAGGGGGAGAGGGAGGGGTGAGGAAGAGAGACCATCCCCTGCACTTTTGACTAGGAGCTTGTCAATGTCCCTGTCCATGAATTCTTTAGTTATCTTAATCTTCCTGGTACATTTCTTGTCATGTAAGAGCTGCAGCATATTGCTCATCCGTCACCAATCGAATAACACCACTGTTTAACACCAAGTTCTCCTTGAAGCAAGGAAATTCTTTAGATCCAATCCTATGCTCTTCATCGTTTTCATACCTCATAATACATGTACAAGGTTCATGTTAGAGCAGGTACATGTAATCTGTAAAGTCCGAAGGACCTCTTAACGAGGTTCAAAGGCATTTCAATTTACAGTTTACGCCTTGGACCAAAACTGAATTTAATCCCAACTAAACCAATCTATTGTCATGTGAAGCCCCGCCTGACCTACACACTTGCAAATACCTTCACCAATCTGGCAATCCCTCTCAAATGATGATGCATGTGTGCTATTGCGACGGTATAGACCCCTTCGGAGGGTATCCAAAACTGACATCGTCAGAAAAAAGGCTTTCGCCCACACTTCCAATAACTGGCACTCTGATTAAACAGCAAGATTCTGAAGACACAAGTTGTTTTTCTGTTCAACCTTTGCAGAGGCGAGGAGGGTTTCATTTTTTCTCTTTTCTTTTGGTGTTTTTTAAAGTTTGTATACTCTTGTGGGGATGAAGCCAATAACAAGCAAACCAGAACTTTTTTTTAACCACCCTTCCAATACTTAGTTTTTTTCTTGGTAACATTGATCCCAACCCGTATCCACCAATCCACTTGTACTCCACTTCAGAGACTTTGTCTTGTCATTGGGACATAGGCATTGCAAGTAGTGGGGGTTTTTTTTTTGGGGGGGGAAGGGAAAATGTCAATGAGATTAAAATTTTTGCAAGGTGGAGGTGTGATTGGCAAGGCTTGGGGTGACACTATGTAGGAACAATCTCTTTTGAAACAATCTCTTTTGAAACAATCTCTTTTGAGAGGAAGCATTCCTCTGGTGGGGGGGGGGGTTGTCTGGTCTAAATTCCACTTTTCCTACATGTTTTCAGCGCAAGCCTAATCAAAGCACATATCCCATCGGCAGTAGAGGGGTCTTAGGATGCGTCCCCTATGAAACCTGAAACCACCACTTCTGGGGTACACTGAATGAGTAACACTGACCACCGACAAAATTATTGTATTTCTACATACATTTACATATATGAATACAATATCAACTCCCCCCTCCCTTTTGCATTTCTCTTTTCCCCTCCCCTTAACAGGACCCCTGCTTCTAGACTTCAATTTCTTTTAAAAGAGCAAGCAATGTGACAGCTTTATTCTGAAAGATCGGTGCGAGTGAGGTCATTTACCTTGCGTGTTTGCCGACAGGACGCCATCGTTGGTAGCTGCTGCCACATGGGCACGGCACTGCTTCAGGCTACAAGTCAAACACACAAGAAAAGTATACATTTCAAGGTTGACAGAAACGGCACTCTCGGATGGAATGAATGCAGAGCTTTGGATCGTTACAAACAAAATTTGACATCTCATCCTTCACAGTCAATAGACAATGGCAATTTCAAATTACAATTTCACTTCAGCTACTCCATATTAGCACCCCCTCTCAAAAATAACGACATACAATAAACAGCAAGCAAAAAATGTGTAACTATAAAAGAAAAGCAACACTACATTTTGGCATTTTCTCTTTGCTTTTGACCAGCGAAGAAATAATTCAAACCACACAAAGTGCAATGAAGAAACTAAATTTTAAAACAGCTCTCTGAGCAAAATTCTTAAATAAAAGCAATTATCTACATGGTCTACAAGAATAAATTTCAGTCCGCACAAAGATTGTTTCAAAAAGTATTTATTGCAGCAATGTTTATTAGTTATCTTTAACAATTACCTCTTAGGATTTTTATCCATAATAAATACTATTAAATACAATAATACAAGAACAATAAATGCAGCTTAGCATGGCAAATAAATTTAAAATAACCACTGTGAGAGCTAAAACTAGACTCACAAACACCAAACACTGTATATTTAAAATCTGTCAGGAATTTCAATGCACAAACAAATCCATGTGTGGTAAAGTATTTAAATTAAACATGACAATGTGAGAATGACTGATTTTACTGCTATATTGTTCGTTTTTTAACCCTAACCGCCAAGCATATTGTTTGGCTTACACTACACAGTACTACAAAATACTAAGTAATAGTCTGAGCCTGAAGGACCTAGCACTACAGATTACTACTTCTGGCTAGGTTACTTCCATTGTTACTTGTACAGAGAACAATAAAGCCATGCATTCATAGTGCCAGAGCACTGTATGGTACAATGTCTTATCTATTGTATCTTATGGCTTCACAGAACAATAAAGTCATGTCCTCTTACAAGCGACAGAGCTCAGTACTACATTTTACTACAAGTAGTAATTTGTAGTTTTATGTAGGGTTAGGGTTAAAGGAAGGAAAAAATTCTGGCTGAAATGTAGGATTTTTTTTTTCATATGACCTGCAAGTTTATCAGACAAGAGCCGAGTCTGTTGGGCAATACTCATGCATACTGGAGAAAAGGCAAAAACAAACAAACGCCGTCATACAAATGGTACCCACAGAAGAAACAATAAAAACAAACCAAACAGAGATCTCGCAATTCCACTGTCTGTCCTGATTTTCGGCTGATTTTACACAGGACAGCACTGCCTGTCAATATTTCAATTTAATCTACATAGCATTCGTAAAACCTCACTAATTAATCGCATCTTGGAAAATTTGATTTAAGTAATTTTAAATAATCGTCGCCATGTTTTATCGTAGGAACTACAGAATTTGTTTTCATGGTTCTCAAATGAAGAACTTTGTTCAGTAAATCTCTATGTAACCATAGCCAAGGTGCTGAGTAAATAATTGGAACTGTGCGACAGCTTAATATTTACCAAATGTAACCATTCCCATACATGTACTTATTTTGTATGCATAAATTATGTATTACTTTAACCTCCAGGTAGAGTCATGTATTACCCACGCGTGAAAAGTATACATTTTGTGAAGAATTACACAGAAACAAATTCAACTGATATTAGACATGCATGCCAGCTATTCAAATTTGTTAAAGGCAGTTCAATAACAAGATAAATATTTGCAATTGATATACCAGATCAAATTCACATCTGCCTTAACTAAACAAGATACAATGTACATGTAAATCTGTAACACGGACAACCCCCCCACAAAGAGCCGCTAAAATGAATTAGCGTATTGAGTTTTGTTCCTATTGCATCTTATCCTACTACCCCTACAGCAAAAAAACAAAATCACTTGTAATAAACAGCGGAATTTGATGTTCTAGTCAACTGGTGTACAGTGCTTGTGCTGCACTGTACATATAAAGTACAAAATTTCAGCAAACACAAAGTTCACGTACATGTAATATTGCGCATTACACGGTCCTCCCATTCAAATAATAAAATGGCAGTTGAGGCAAGTGAACATGACTGCAAAACGCAGCCAGAAATGAAACGAAGTACCTGCAGAGGCCAATAACAGCCAGCACTTGCAACTTTTGAAAACTTATCAAAAGTACAGCGTACATGAAAAGGCACAAAGCTTACAGCTGAGGTAAATTGTTTTATAAGATCTACTTGAAAGAAAAAGAAAATGAATGAAATCAAAATAAAACCAACTGCAGAAATTGAGGGAATTCTAAATGTATGTACAAAAGGAAAACACGATTTCTTGTACTTATCTGATTTACAGAAATTAAGATGCCTCCTTGTGCAAGTTGGACAAAGATCAATTCAACAGGATGAAAAAAACAACTACATGCACCGTCATTAACAATGCAATGAAACTGAATAAATAAACATTGACAAACATCCTTCTGTTCTTACATTTTGGGTTCAAATTAAAAAAAAATCAAACCACATATTCAACTGACCATAAAAACGCATCATATGCATAAATCAAAGATTCATAGGCACAGAATTTCCCCTGTACAGAAGCCTTACTAGCCAACTTTTACGCCATCACTTGCTTAACCTTTGATTTAGGTAAAACGCATTCCTGTGCAATTGACACGACTTTAAGCTACTGTTTCACTGATAACCTTAACGGGACTGCGTCTTCTGATTTAATATGATTTTACCCACACCCAAGGGAATTGGGGTTGAACTACTTTTCATCTGTCTACATGTATGTATTTTGACTAAAATTACTAAATCAACAAACAACACATTCAAAGCTCCTCCATGCTATGAACTACATTGCACGGGGGAAAAATCTTTTTAAACATTTTTACTCTTGGAAAACATTATTTCCATGAGGAATACAGGCAGGGTTACTGCCCTTTCCAAGCATGCTGAGAACTTCAAGAAATACAAGTGTAAGGCTTGTTATCAATACGTTAGTTATTGTTCAAGTTATTGTTCGAACGAGTTAAAAACTGCTCTGTATTCTGCAACGAGGGTTATTCACTGAGTTCACTAAGACAGTCGTATCTGGCCGTTCAATCAGCATTGTCAACCAAATAACAAAAACAAAGTCAACACATTAGAGTCCAGTCACAGGATTTCCTCTGCAAAACTTCCAGCCCCCTCCTTTCCTTCAGTGAACTCAAATACGGGCATTTCACAACAGTGCACCTCCAAGAGTTTGCAACGCGTTGATCACCGATTGCTTGTTTGCAAACTCTTGGAGGTGCACTATTGCGAACCATCCGTATTGATTGAAATTGACGAGAAATACCTTTGATGATCAAAGGTCAATTTCGTTTTGACTCATAAATTGCCAACGTGCCGGGGTCCAATTACATTTTACTGACCATGTTATCGTAACATGCATTTATAATGCATGCAATTCCCTCACTGTAAATGAGACTGAATCTTTTGGAGATTTCATCAAAAACGAAATGTGTGATATAATACAGAGCTTCCATTTAACCACACTTTCCTTTGTGAATTGATCTTTAGGAGATTTAAGCACATCCAAAACCAAAATACAAAAATGCTATCACTACTTATCCCAAGCAGTCCCAAATCCTCCAATTTACTCTGGTTTTAATAGCACACCCCCGGGAGGGTTAGTGTAATCAAACCTGTACAGGAAATTCAGGGTGATATGAGGAATTTGAGTTAGAACTGTACCACTTAAATGTCAACCTACATTCCAAAACCAGGGTGAAGAATTAACCACTGCCTGGAAGATGACGCCAATATACACATAAACACTGCCAATTCACTTGTACATGTATGTTTACTGCTATAAACTACATGTACCAAAGCTTTCTGCAAATGGAATTTGCACCATGGATCACTTTGACGTATGATAATTACCGTCGGAAACGGTAGGTCCCTAGGAATTTTTTAACGTTAAAATTACTGACTTTAGTCTGGTTACAGGATAGAACACATACATGTAGGTTAAAAATAGTAATTACAGAACTGCAATTGCAACTTCAAAACAAGTGCATCAGTGCAGTGCAAAAACTTGCTTAGTTGTACATGTTCAACATTTCAATATCACTGCCAGAAAATTTTAAACAACCTGTTCCGAGTTTGGAAAGTTTCTAAAAAATGACCGGGTAAAATTATGTATTTCACAATACTGACTTTTGTATCGAGTAATCATAAATTTGTTTTTCTAGTCTTCTGGCCACATGGATCCAAATTTATGATGACTTTTACAAAAATTAGACACTAGTACACAAGGATTTCAACATTTGCTATCTAAACTTTTCTCAACACTACACAGACGAACACAAGAGTTTAGGGAAAGGGAGAGTAGCTCCATCTGAAGGTAAAGTGAATGTCACTTTGGTCCAAGATGATTCCAACACAGCATGTGGGTGTTTAGTGCGACTTTTAAGCTATTCAACATATCCAGACTGTTTGCTCAACGACAGATCACATTGAGGTGCGTCTTGGAGGATGGTACAATTACATGTAAATCTCGTCCAAGCAGGAAGGAGCAGGGCAATGGACAACTTTTAAAATGCTTTTTTTTGGTCAGTTTGTTTTTCCAATCCAGTTGAAGTTCGTTCGTGGCCATATCTCTCAGTGAGTCTGATGTTTTGGAGCACAAAAGTACAATTCTTCAGAACATGTGATCTTGGTCTGCGAAGGTTATTATCTGGAACTATTTTTTCCACAAACGTCAGAGGGTTGCCCGAGTGCTTGAAAGAGGTGTGTTCAGTGTAAATGAAGGCTTTTCTCTAGTTTAAATTGCTGGATGACGGACAAGGGTGAAACAATGCCGACTAAAGTGATGAAAATGGTTGGTATCCAGGGATATTTAGAGGGACGATGAGGACAGTGATGTGAATTAGGATCCAAATGAAAGGTGGTTGTAGGGAACCAGTGAAGAAACATCACACTTTGTAAGTTTGGGAGGGCAACTGAAAGCTGGATAATTAGTGTTGGCAGACTTCCAGGTACCGGTAGTACATGTACACGTTGAGCGGTACAGGCTCAGGAGAGGGAATTATCTCAAATGGGACAATCTGATCAGACCTGAAGCTCTTGATTTAAGAATTGTTTGACGGGAAGATGTAACACGGGAGCATCATCAGCACATCATCATCATCTTCCATCATCAAGGCATGTTGGCCTGAGATTTTTTAAGTCTGAGCCAGAATTGGTGGTGTCGGCATGCACGCTGACAACAAGGAAACAACACTTCATCTCTGACTGAGGAAGGGTGGATGAAAAGGATGTAGATGCTTGGGCCAACACCAGACCATCTCGGATTCTCTGTGTAACTCAGAGAACCCAACTGTCACTGGTCATGTTAGCTATTTGGAGGAAGTGTCCATGGCCACTTCTCACAACTGCACACGATGAATCAGCTGGCATACACCTAATCCTGATGTTTCCAGATGATGCTTTTCCTATTTCAGCCCTGTAACGGTTAGTGACAAATCAGACTCAAAAGTTAGTTGCTGGCTGAACAGCCACTGCTTCTTAGTCCACCACCTGACCACCGACATGGCTGGCCCAGGCATGCCAGGTGATGTTAAGGATTGGATCCCAGCTTGCATGGCTTGAGAGTAGCTGAAGCCTTGATGGTGACTTTTGAACTCGTGTGCTCATGACTGAAACTTGCCGACGACTTGACTCTCGTTGTCCTGCCGTTTGAGCATGGAGATGGGCTTGTCAAGGCTGCTTTTGAAGGGCTGAACTTCTTGTTGGTGACATCCCCAATGCAGACGTAGACTTTACCAATCATCCTCACCGCTTTCATCTCGACGAAGACGAAGTGAACACCTTGATAGGGTGCTTGTAATGGAGCATGTCGAGGTGGGAAGCTATCTATCTAGGGTAACTTTCTTCCACCAACGATGCCCTTTCTTGACTTCACGGGCGAACATCAAGTGATCGCGTCCAGAGCTAGCGGATCTACCGAGAACATGAGGAACCGGCAGCGAAGCTGGGTGATTTTTGGCGCTGCAATTTGACCGCCAGAAAACCCTCTTTTCCCGAACAAAAACTCTCCAAACACACACATTTTGCGAACCAGGCTCTTCTTGCCACTATCTTCAATACACAGGTTGTAAAAGTCCTTCAAGGGGTGTAACTTACAACTCATTTCGGCCCGCTTTCTCCCAGGTTTTACAGAGCTCTGCGAGGTGCCCGAACTGCGCCATCTTTGATAATTAGTTAGGTGCCCGGATGTAGGTGATGACGTCACAAGCCCCCAGCGAATGATCAATAGACTGGCAGCCTATCCTTTGCACACTCCGTCGATGCGCCCCTCCCCCCCCCCCGTCGTTTTGGGTTTATCTTACAGTGTTATTTTTTTTCCCCACATAACTGGAAGTATGAAGAAAAGACATAACAGACAAAATCTGTGGATGGGGTCCCTTAGAAGCAGTGCTTGTCGAGTAGGAATAATACACATTATTACAAACAACACATTAATTACGCCATATAAAATTAAAAATTGGACAAAAAGCAGCAAGTCATGTAAACAGTTAGTCTTGCAACCCTGTAAGACACAGAAACTAAATGAAGTTAAATAGAATTTAAATACTCAGTAAATAATTAGCCTTAAATTTAAATTTGAATATTAGTCTTCATAGAGATGTCTAGAGAATTCCACAGCTTGGGACCCTCATGCTTGAGACTGTATTTTGTGTGAGAATGGTGCGTGCAAAAGAATAACATAGTTTCTTGTATTGTCTAGTGAAATGGTGGTGCATTTCTTCATTTTTTATAAGCACAGAGCAAATGGATTTAGGTAATATTTTTATTATTATATAAGTGCTGCTTTGCTGGCAGAGAAAAATTAGACACAACCATCTGAATCCAAAGGACTAACAAACTAACACAAAGTAGACTTTATTCATTTGTACTATTATCAACATTAAAACAGAAAAATTATGCAAACAACAGTGATTCTGCAAAGATGTAACCAATTAATTAACAATCTATTTCATTATTTTGCAGTATTCTCTGTGAACAAATTGATTCTTATGTAACTATCACTGGTTATCTCAATCATAAAAGTAATTTAAAATCCAAGGTGTACATGTGGTCTTCCAGAATGCAATATGAAATCATACCACTTTTAACTTTCTGGTTCATTGGTTTGGGCCAATGACTAGATCTGTGCCAAATATCTGAATATTTGATCAATTACTGAATATTCAAATAATATTTTCTGATTCTGAATATTCAAATGCAAAATTCATGAAAAGGGAGAATTTTCTTTTGTTTTAAATGACAAAAACTTGCACTATGGAGGCTTGTTTCAAGCAGATTCAAATGAAAAGGGACAGAAATCTTTCAATGATTCAAAAAGTAAATTATTCATTAAACGATTTAAAGGAATAAAACCATTAACAGAGCAAGAAGTATTGTTCATCTTAAATCTTGCAAACTAGTAGCTGGAGATACTCCTAGATGTGAGAAGCTTTTATGCTATTATATTGATCATAATGTACAATTGTGTGCGTCATTGCAACTGATTTTGTATATGGTTTGTTCATCAACAATCTGCCGGTCGGTGCGACCGAATATTCGGCTATTCACTCGAATTGAAGATTGAACATTTGAATAGTGAATTCAGCCCTACAAAAGACACTGCAGTAATATGGCCTCACCAACATGCTGATGCATCAAGTGAATCAACTGCCCACTGTCTGGTTAATCCTCTCCCTACAACTCAACGTGAGAAACTGAAGAGTGGAGTTTTTGTATTACAAAGTTTCTGATACAATTATAAAATCACGGACCGATAGAATTTCACTCCAATTTTTACAAACATTAACTGCCATCTTGTTTGGACACCAAAAGTTTGAACAATAATCATTTTCAGATGGCAACAATTTCTGCAGCAAAATACAAACTGCTGATAATTGAATCATTATCAAATTGGCAAGCATTTTACTATTTGGTGTCTTCATATGTAATTGACATATTTAAAGAAGTTTGTAAATTATTTCATTTGTTTGGTTGACAAAAATCCTGCTTCTGAAACAGTAAAAGAAATATTTATAAAAGAAAAATGAAAATTTGGAAGACAACTTCATTTGAAGTAAAAGTTCAATTCCGATGATACCATTTTAACATGTTTTAGTTTCAAAAGATTGAGGTCTTCCAAAATGTGAATTCCGAACCTATGAAGTGTTTTCCTCAGAGTTGCAACCAAGTACATTTCAAGTACCAAATTCACTACAAAATACACTGATGACCGCAAATTGTCTAAGTCTCCTTACAACTTAACTTTTACAAAATTCTAAGAATCTGAAGTCTTTGATGTGTTTTGTAATCTTATCCTTGTGTGTCTACTGTCCAATATGTCCATGTTTCGTTCACAATTTACCAGTTGCGTATTTGGCAGTAAAATCAATAGTCAAAAGGCACTTGACTGCAACACTGCTGTCCCTCCAAGGCCCCTTTTGATTTCTTCCAAGCAGATAACAAACTTCACTGTCTTCTGTAATGGGCAATTTTCATGAAAGGAAGACAATAAAAAAGTTTTGCAGCAAACTTCAGAAAATCCATCTCCAGGCCATACCATTTTTTTGGAGGGGGGGTGATAGCTTGAGGAGAGAGAAATGGGTTTCAGATTGATGTATCCATTTCAATCAGTTCAAGGAGGGGTAAATCCCGACGCTGAATACAAACAGAGGCTTCTCTTCAGTTTCCAGTCCACCCCTTCTAACCCCAAAGGGCAATGGAAGATCCCGGGGAGAGGGGTGGGGTTTACAGTGATCTTGCTGAGCATCCACCCGTGGCTGTGAGGCATCAAGCCCCTGCAACTAATAAGCCATTGGCAAGTTAAATTTGAATAAAATCTGATACCCTGAGTTATCTGATAAACATAACAATCTGAATTCCCCAGACTGAAGACACTGTTGCTATACCTCGTTATTCAGTGCAAGCTTTTGCATGGCGACCACCATCTCTGGAACGAACTGGTTCCTTTTTGCCCTTTTTATCCATTGAAAACGGTGTATTGTTGCAAGGCGTCTATTACGTAACTAAGCAAAAGCTTGCCCCAAATTACAAGAAATAGCAACAGTGTCTTTAGTATGGAGAATTCAAATTTTTATGTTGAATTTAAAGAACTCAGTGTGCCAGATTTTATTCAAATTTAACTTGCAAAAGGCTTACTGCGAATGGAGTACGTACAAGTATATGTCACAGCCCCCAATACATTTCCAAGCTCCTCCCCCCATTCAACGCCTTAGTGCTACAGGCTAGCTCCCTCTATAGGTACTGTAGGAGTATGGACTTAGAAGCAATGGCACATGGTAGTGTTGACTAGGATCAGCTATCTCAAACACAACCTGGAAAAATACACAAACAGAAACAATAACTGGCAAAATTACTATTAGAAACACACTCAAAAAAGGGATCAAACTTTTTAGAAAGAGGCCCTGCCAAGGTTGAAACTTCCGACTAATGGCTCAAACGAATCTGGGGGCAGGCACAATTCTCCATTGCAAACTAAACGCTAGTTGTCAATGCAAATCAATGTCTGGTCAAATCACAAGCCCGGTTACAAATCCATAAGACAATAGGATGCCTAATGTCTTTTCCTTTCCCTTTATGACCTTTTGACTTGTGATTGATGAGTAAGAACTTGACCAAAACACTGGCAAGTTTGACAATTTTGTAACCCCCCAAATTGTATTGTAGATACAGCCACATTGCTTTGCAATTCCAGTCTTTCAGCATCTAAAAATGAAAGATTTCTCTTGCTTACCTCCACATATGGGTAGAATCCTGTTGTGTTGATGGACTTGAAGTAGCTGCCAGTGTCAAACTTGATCTTGTAGACTCCAGCGATGAACTGGTCCTGGGTCAGCAGGCCAGGAGCCCTGCCATCCCTGTTGGTTGCCCTGGGTTTTTGACACAAAAAGTAAACACTGTCCATACCACACATAGCTCCAATTTCACGGGCACATTCTTCAACAAGTTAAATTGATGTTGAACACTGAAATGTTGATTTTTAACAAATCAAATGAGGCAAAATGTGTATGGTGGTGAACTGCGCTAGCTCCGATATTGACTTATTTTCTGTAGTGGAAATATCTTTCAAAGCAAATGTAAATAAAGCTTTCCAAAGGACGGATTTTAGACACAATTCTGGCAGATCTCATGCCTTTAAATTTCAAAAAGAATTTCTTTTCTGAGAAAGACTGCAATTTTGCTCTCCGGAGGGTGCAAATGAGAATAAAAAGAACACAGCTTCCTGGGCTTTGTAGGTTACGCAAGGTCAAGTTACCCCTTGGCAATGAGATCAAATTCCTGCGAGTTGGGTCTCTGGTACGACACCGCGATGCCGAGGTTCCGAGCCGGTCGGCCCAGTGCCGTGTCCAGGACATGGGTGGTCAGAGGACTGGCAGCCATGGCTGGAGAGGCAGTTTCATTCAAGTGGATGGGACATGGGAACAACTATAACACAACCAACAAATTCTTCACTTTGAACACGTTACATGAGGCTATCGTTATCCCTAACTCTAATGTGCCACAAATTATTTGGGAAACTTGTTGATCTTTGGTGTGAAGTTGAGTTTCCAATGTCAGTCACCTGTGTAGCCAAAAGGCAAGACACACATATTTACTAATGATGCTTACGGTCCCAACAAAGCGGTGAGCGAAAAAAATTCATTCGGCACTGCACACAAAAATTTCAGCTAAAATTTTGGCCGTTATTTAAAGCTTGCCAACTAGACCTCAATAGGCCTTGAACAGCTGGCATATCTGGGTATCAAGTCTATTTGTTTGTACATCATAACTTAAGTTTCTTGAGTGGACTCTATACTGGAGCTTTGGCTAGATCTGCGCTCATAAGGCTGCAAATGCATTCTCCTACAAAAGTCAAAAGTTGGGAGTGATCCGTTGATCTTTGTGCAATCTGTTGATAGGCCTACTATCGCACCATTTGTCAAGAATTCTACAATCAGCCAACTGACTTTTCTAACTTGCAATTGTGGAAGATTGTTTTTAAAAAGGGAAGTATTGTCTGGTATTTTGTACTGGATCGCCTGATAGCTCAACCTGATAAACGCAATCATGCTCATCGACTGATCGCACCAAACACAAAAACTGGATCCTAACCAGGTCTAAGCCTTACCTGACTTTGGCTACTTTCCTGCAAATGACCAATCAGTGTCTCGATCCGCTCATTCGCCTCTGACATCTGACCACACTCTGATATTCTTGTTGATATATTTCACTGAAAAACAGTAGATCATTTGTATAGCACCAATCAGACACTGATGTATCTTTTCTTCCCACCATGCTCCTTCCCCTAAACAACTTTGGTCTCAAAATTGTTGGTGGAAATTGTTGGAAATTTTAGGGCTGAGCTGTGGAAGCATTTATCTGAAGAATGTTGCATTCTGTTGCCTTTTGTCACGATGTAAATGAAAGTCAATTATTGAAGATAAAAAGACAGACATCCAAAAGTGAGCTGAAATAAACTCCAATAGACCGTCTTCACTGGGTACCCAATTTCAGTCGTATTCCTGAACGTATTGTACATTTGAAACCCAGTGCAGTGGGACGGTACCAGGTGATTTTGGGGGTTAGAATGAAATTGTAAAATAGAATCTGGTTCTTTAAATTAAACATTTTCAAATGAACACACTACGTTGGGGGACCTGACTGAAATTGGGTCCCCTGTGTATACGGTCTAGGGCCTATTCATCTCGCTCTAATATTAATTTTAATTTTTATCCAAAATGTTGGACTACCAGACTCAGTAAACTTGTATAATTGTAAGCAGTCCAAAACTGTAATAGGATACAACAATATGATATATCTATGACCTACTCCAATCCCCTGCTCTTTCCAAAAGAATACCTCAGTCAAACTATCTCTACATACCTGAATACATAAAATGTAATAATCAAGCATATGAAAATGATGAAGCAGACAGCAGCAAGCCTCAAGAATGGCAGACAACTACAGCGCCCTCAAGAGGCCACAGATACAACTATGGCAGACGGCACTTCTGTAACTTACGGGAGAAATGCGCCGGAGGGGAAACTGTCCAAATCTGAGAAGAAATTGGCTCGGAAACAGGCAAAATCCAGGCATACACTCCTGCGACATGAAGGCATCCACACAACAAACTCACCAACGAAAGTAAGAATGCGATCATTGGTAATTTAAATAAGAACGATGCACGTGAGTTATGTTGAGATTTTGTGTCATTCATGTGGATCTGGTACCTTTTGTGACTTCGTTGGTTTGGTAAATGGTTTCTGTTGAGGCACCCGTCCAAGAAAAATCGCTTTTTATTTTGGCTGTCGATGATAATTTAAAGTTGACCATGAATCGGCCCCAATCGTTTATGTAAATTCTTGACCCGTTTGAAGATGGTTGAAGCAACTTATACTACTACTAGTACTACTTAGCCTTCCAAGTTACATCACTTGTCTTGTCAAGACTTGTGAGTGTTTAAATAAAATCAGGAGAATTCCGTGCCTGGACGTCATCACTTGCAAGTTGCATCCTTTGCACAACCCCATGACATGGGCTTGAAAAAAAAAGAAGTTACTGTTTTGTAGGTAAATGCTTCAATATTTTCCTTAGACTTTGTAAGACATATTATTCTGTTGACTGAAAAACCACTGCAGGCATGGCAGCGCAGGGGAAACTTAGTGATATCTGTGTATGGAACTCCAGTAAATTATGCCTTTATGAAAGATCAAAGGGAAAGAGTTCCATATATGGACAATACTGCTTTTCCCATAAATAAAAAGCAGCCATCAAAAAGTGATAGCATGTTCTAAAAAGTGAAATTTGGCAGAGAAAACTCTGAAGCATTTACTTAGAAAACACTCAGTTCAGACAAGTCTCCTAGGTTTGTGCACGGCTTCAAGTGTTGTCCATATATGGAACTCTTTCCAATCAGTGCAGTGCATTAGGCTAACTAAGCATAGTTCTTCTGTCTGAATTTATTTGAAGCATTTGATCGTTGGAAATGGGGGACTAGGCAACGGGGTTAGTCGGAGTGACCTCAAATCACTTTTCGCCCAGTACGGTCAGCTGATGGACATTGTCATGTTGCCAGGGAAACCGTACAGCATTGTCTGCTATGCATCGGTCCAGGAGGCAATGGCAGCTCACGACCGCCTCCAGGGATGGCAGCTCCGCCCACCAAGTGGACCCAGTGCGGCTGTGATACTGTATCTCTCCTTCATCAACGAAGGTAATGAAATGTGTTAAAATTTGTTTAGGTCAAATCATTCATCCTTCACTAGAAACCTGCGTACGACTTATGAGTTATCAAGATTTATGAGTTATAAATATACGTTGGGTAAGGGCAAACCCGTTATATATAATTGACTTATGAGTTGGCAAGGACAGGACATAAAAAGTTTGGTGAACTACTCTTTTGAAGTTTTTATTCATTTTCCAAAATTCCAATACTTCAAATACTTTATTTCTGTATTTGAGAAATCCCATGTGGGCATGAGAGTGTGAAGTCCATATCCTCAGTGCATCAGAGTTTATAGTTGTGGGGGGGGGGCACCAGCTTTCAGTGGTTTGGTTTTTTTGGGGGGCAAGCTTTGTTAGCCATATTCAATATCCAATCATCCATTTTTTAGAGGGGGAGGGGCCACCTGGAGGGGCATCAGGAATTTGTGTGTGGGGGGGCATGTCCCCCTGGTGGCTATGCCTCTGCTGGCAGAAAAGTTTGCTGAAATATATTCATAGCATCCAGCTGGCTCAAGGGATGGGCATATATTTCCCTGACCATCAGCTCCCCACTGGAAAGTTAGCCAATACATGTTTTTTATGACTCTTGACTGAATCGGTGAAAAGTTAGGCACTTTTTTTTACCATTAGCTCTCAGTGGAAAGGTTTTTTTTTTCATTATGGTATAGAAACTGGATTCGAGCCTCTGATCTTTCAATCATAAGTCGCAGACCTTTACCACTGGACCCAGCTCCCCACTATGAACAGTGTGCGTCATAAAACTGGTCCAAACTTCGCCGTTGCAGTTCCACGTCCCAAGATGAGCAGAAGCCACCCCAGCCTACCCCCAGGGCTTATCCTGCTGGAAGATTTCATCAGTGCCGAGACGGAGGCAGCACTGACTGGAGACAAGTTGTGGGAGGAGGGAGATCAGTCTGAGGAGGCGGGTAAGAAGTGCAGCCCCATCCTGCATTCCGTCTGATGGGCGGGACCCAGCATTGTGGTCAAGTCCATCACAGCGACAAAAAATTCCTTCTTCCGTGGCCATTGCAAAGGGAGACATTGGGGGTGTCCCTCCCTTCTCCCAAGACAAAATGAGATATAAAAGCAGAAAAAAGCAAAGAAATGAAAGGAATAGGAAAGGGATAAAGAATTGCCAATTTGCAAACAATGAAACCTCGACACTGACTTCCTTCCTCACTGTCAATGGTTTTTGTTTATCAGTTTGTTGCTGATGAGTGCTTATTCTCCCCCCGCCCAAGGATTTTAAGTGCAAAATTGTCCTGAATAAGACTAAAACCTACGTGTGAAGTGTGCCCTCACAGAACTTGATATTGTCTTTTGGTTTTAATTGTAGTGCGGATGACTTTGAAGCACAGGAAAGTCAGACATTTTGGTTACGAGTTTAACTACGCCACCAACAATGTTGACAAGGACAGTCCACTCCCTGACCCCATACCGCCACTGTACACTGACATCATTGACAGAATCATGGCAACCGGGCTAGTGGAGAACAAACCAGACCAGATCACCATCAATGAGTACCAGCCTGGTCAAGGTAAGAAAAAAAAAATGTGTCCGCTTCACACGTGAGCGAGGATGGCGAGTTCTTACAAAGCAAGGGACGTCACTTTGCTGGAGATACATCACTTGCATGCGCAGATTTATACGTGCTTGGCACAAGCCGCACTGAGCATGTGCGATCACTTTCTGTTGGAATGTACAGTTTGGGTTTGCACAGGTACCCAGCAGAAAGGACCCCCTCTAGCTTCTCTCTTTAAGGCTTTAAAGGTTACTTCCACACATAGTGGACGATGGAGGTAGTTATCCATTTGTGGATATGAAATCACGGCTTGTCATAAATGCCTTTTTTGCTGTAGTTGTCAAGCTTGGAGAAACCTGTGAAGAGAAGAAAACAAAGAAATCCTTAGAATTTGAAGTGGGAGGAAAACTGAAACTTTGGTTCAAGACTCATGAAAATAGATCCAGACTCAATTTGTGGGTCATTAGAGAGCATCACTATGCACGCAAGGTCAGCCCTATCAGCAGAGTCATGTATGAATTCATATGCTCAGAACACGGTTGAGACCATGCCATCAGGGACTTTGTTCTGGAACAACCTTGTCTTTTTTTGCAATACGGAACTGACTCATCATACAACAGAATTAACAAAATAATTGTGAGGACTTGTTTTCCTGCCCAACTTCCACTCTGTCTTGTAGGCATACCTCCTCATGTGGACACGCACTCAGCGTTCCAGGAAGCCATCATCTCACTCAGCCTAGGCTCACAGGTCTGTCATCGGGAAATTTATTAACAATATTTTTTGGCACAAGCATACCTACAAGCTTATAGTTTTCTTTTCAATTGTCATGACCTCCAAAGGGTTTGAAAACAGATGTATCAAAACATATATCTTTCGAGATATTGTCTTAGTTTCTCCTATTTAAACCTGGAAGCAAAGTACCTGGAGCATTAATCATCTTGAAAAGCTCTGGAGATTTGCATAGACTTGCTTTCCTCTTTCTAATCTTGAAGTGTCACTCTTGGAGGCATGGTGTAGAAATAGGGTTCAAATGTATACGCTGCTCTGCTGTTTTGAAACTTTGTTGAGCTTACGTTATTTGCAAGACAACAGTTAATTCCCTTTGCATTTTGTGCTATGGGATTCTTCCTCGGTCCTCCAAAATTCTCCACGTTGCAGAAACCACTGGTTCATTCTTTTTACATGTACTTTAACTTTGAGCATTACATCCTGCACAAAGAAATATATGTAGTGGTAGGGCTGTACCTCCCTGAATCCTGCAAAACCCTTCAAAACCCTCCATGCGGATACTGATGGATCTGGGAGGGTAACAGAGTTGTTTGCAATCGTTTTGCCAGGTTCTCATGGAGTTCAGTAACCCCGTCGCTGGCCGTCACGTGCCAGTGTTTCTACCGCGCCGCAGTCTGCTGATCATGACTGGAGAAGCAAGATACCTCTGGTCTCATGGGTGAGATAAGTCATCTCAAAATTTGAAATTTCATTTCCAAAGACTGTTGATAAGGGCTACAGAACATACATGTACATGTTATATGACATTGGATTTCACTCCCATGTTGTTCATAAGAAAAGGTTTCAGAATTACCTGTCAATAGTCAGTGTGATCCAACATAGCAAAATCATTGTAAGTCACAAGAGCTACTCAAATGAGCAGTTTACTGATAAGTTAAAAAAGATATTTAAGACTCATTTTGTTCGATCTGGTCACAAGTGTTGATTATTGAACAGAAAGAACCCCTGCATGTGATTCTTCAGAAAGTGTTTTTGACATTTTTACCCCAATTTTTTAAACATTTGACACCAAATTTACCTAGTCAAATATGAACTCCAAATTTCCAGGATCACACCGAGAAAAAGCGACGTCATTCCTGCTCACATGGATGGAACGAAGAGTGGTACCACATCTGATGAAGTCACAGAGAATGACCAGGGACTTACATTGATGCAACGTGGGGTCAGGAGGTCACTGACCTTCAGGGCTGTCAGGGGAGCTCCTTGTCATTGTGGTGAGAAGAAAACAAGGGCGGGGCTTGTGTTGGAGAAAAAAGGGGCAGCATACCTGTAGAAGGGAAAAAAAGATACTTTTTACCCCATATTTTTAGATCAAAGGTGCATGCAGAACTAGTGAAGTGTGCATTTTGTAGTTGACAAAAACAAGTGAAAGAAGACAAATTGTTCAAAGCTTGATCAAATTTTGAAGTACTAGATGTTTGGAAGTTAAAAACAGTTGTGTTCATTCAGTTGAATTTTTGTTACGTCCATTTCAAAAGTATTAGAAGATTGATCTATGTTTTATCAAGGAATTTTTTTAACGTAATCATTTTTGCAATTTCGATTTTGCAGCTTACCCCAGTCGCTGTGACACCCAGCTTGCTGCTGCGACCTCTCACCCCCAACCCACAGCTCCAACCGCTCCCTCCCTGCCGACCTCTGCCCTCCAGGCCATTCACCTAGAGGCCACCCACGTCCACCAGGTGTACGACAGCATCGCTGGCCACTTCAGCCAGACGAGGCACAAACCCTGGCCTCATGTTCTGGGGTTCCTGCAGTCACTTCCAATGGGGAGCATTCTGCTCGATGTGGGTGAGCAGGTGTATTTCAGTCTCACCCTTAGTGGCACGGTATCCTGCTGGGTCTCTGCTCAACTTGTTGCCTTGTGTCTTGTTGGTCTTAACTGTGCTTTGGTGATCTTTCCTCATTACTTGAGGACTTACACGGGCTGGCTTACCCCCCACATTAGCATGAATGCAAATGTGCAATTCTTTGTTACGTGCTCATGCTACAATTCTGCAAATATTTCTCACATTTTAATCTGCAGAAGTTTAGAAAGATCAAATTCATTTTGGATTTGCCTAAATGTGAACTGGCATTTCCAGCTGGAGAGCCTGTGACATTCAGAAGCACGTTTTTTCCAAAGACCTGTTGCGCAATCAAGGTGCACAAAACAAAGACATAGACTGGCACTTTAAACCATTACCACTTCAGTAGTGCTGCCTATATGAACACAATATGTCTGGCGCCTTGCCTATGTTGCAATATATTTTCTCCACAACCGAACCTTAGACTATTTAAAAAGTCAATGTTTTCAAAAAAATGGACAGATATTTGTCTCGTCTCAATCTTCATAATTACTTAAATCACAAGGTTATGCTGACATTTTTCTATTTGACTGCAGGCTGTGGAAACGGTAAATACCTCGATGGCAATCCAAGTATATTTTCCGTGAGTCTATTTTGACCATACAAGTGTACTTGTAACCAGATAAAAGCTGCATAAACTGCATCTAGAAGTTCAATTTAGTGGATTTTCTGGGAGGACAGTTTTACCTTCTTGATGATACAAGTTGCTTCCAATACGATGAACAAAAAGAATGCATCTCTTCTCAGTTTTAAAATTCACGTGATGGTTTTTGAGGATGAATGGGAAAGCTACAGTCCTTCATTTGAAATGCTGGTGATGTTCTTTATACATCTACGAAACTGTGGCAATACAAACTATAGTCACTGTTGTGTTTTTTTTTTTTTTCAACTTGAAATTCATTATGACAATTTTCGTTACATGTTTTCACAAATTAAGTTTGGTTGTGACCGGAGCGTCAAGCTCGTGGAGATCTGCAAGGAGCGGCGGTTCCAGGCCTTCAGCTGTGATGGCTTGAATCTGCCTGTCCGTAGCGCCAGCATCGATGCCTGCATCTGCATTGCCGTTATACACCATTTCTCAACTCAGGTGAGTAACTGCACAACTACAGCGCACGCCTGGCTGCTTCCATGCACTCGCCTCACAGAGAGAACAAAGTTGACTTACATGGATAGCTGACCATGTGCTTAAGCTAATGTTAGTAGCTTGTGGGCAGGTTAACAAATTTTTTCAACCACCAGCTGGATATTTTAAACATTACAACTCATTCAGTCGCCAGACTTAACATGTCTTGTTCAGTTTGATTATGATGGTGGCCTGTCAATTATTTACTCAAGCTACCGTACAATTGCTGTGCATTTTCGAGGACCGTCTATGATGGAGGGCACTGTTATTCCCAATAAAATACAGGTGTTTCATAATAGTGCGTCTGCAAGAGTTTGCAACGCGTTGACCAATCACAGTGTACGAAATCTGTCGACCCAATGTCGACCAGTTTAGAAAGAGTCGACAAACTTTGCGCACTGGGATTGGTCAACGCGTTGCAAACTCTTGGAGGTGCACTATTGTGAATCACTATATTCCAATTTGGGGCACATGTCTTAATTGGTACAACATACCACTTTTCTTTTGCTTGATCTTTCGACAATGTCTACAAGGGATGTTGACTTTTTCCCATAATACTCTGCTGGCAAGGCCAAAAATGTCCTGGTAACGACAGTTTCTGTGTCTTGTAATTTGCTGGCATGAGGCAGTGTGTCTGTGCACTTCTTCTGCAGAATCGTCGACTGACAGCCGTCAAGGAAATCGCCCGCGTGCTGAGGCCAGATGGTCTGGGGCTGATCTACGTGTGGGCCAAGGAACAGGAGAAAGACCGGATGAAATCATACTACATCAGCAGTGCGGCTCGCAAGAAGAAAAAGAATGCTCACCCCAAAGAAGACGATGTACAAAGTGAGGACGTGGCATCAAACGAAGACTGCATGGAAAACAGCTTACACACCGAGGACGTCACATCGGATGGAGATGGGACATCTAAAGACATCCACCTAGATAGCAACAGGTACGCTCCGACAAAGAACAACATAGGACACTCTGAGGACAGTAAATCAGAAGACAGTAATCTAGAAAGCAAGGACGTCCAGAGAACTGACAGAGCTTCTGGGGGAGACAAGGCATTGCAATGCTCCAGTGAAGAGTCTGGTTGTCTTTCAGAGGACATTACATCATCTGTTAACAGAACTCGAGCTGAAATATCTGCCACTGCCAAAGCAAATCAAAACTTGTGTGAAACAGATTCTGCACGTGGAGCCAATGGTAGTTTATTAAAAATCCAAGATACCGATGGTAATTATCAAAATCGGGAATCAATTTGTGATAAATCCTACATACAGCCAGAAAGTGCAAGTGTGGTCTTATCGATCCACAAAAACCGGACAGAGTTCGAAAGCCAGGACATGCTGGTCCCGTGGCACCTCAAAAAGCAGACCGGGGAAAAGGATGGCACACCCACACCTAAGAATGGTACAGGCTGTGAGGAGGAGATACCAGTGTACCACAGATTCTACCATGTGTTCCAGGAAGGGGAGTTAGAGGCATTGTGCAGAATGGTGGATGGACTGGAAATTAAAAGCTCTCACTACGATCAAGGCAACTGGGGAATTGTCATTAGGAAGTTGTAGTCAGTTCTCAAAGTAAATGCCAATTTTACTTTAATATCTTTCGCCACCATCCTGTGAAGTGTCTCCAAAAATTGCAGCATGTTGCTGAAAGTAAAATGAATCTCGGTGTTATCGAGACCTCAAATATTGTTATTACTATTCCTACCTTTACTCAAATTTTTTTTGTCAAAACCACAGTGATTCTGGGTTTTGACTGATTACAAATGGTTCTTTAAAATTAATCATAGATGAAACAAAATCAAACAGAAGTATTTCTTACCAAATTTGTGTAAAAAAATGTATTGGCCTTGTGATTTTGGTTTAAATACAACAAAATAAAATTTTAAAAGCAAATAGATATTACCAAGTATTTGAGAGTGATAGACAATCAATCATTATTATTGGGCTATCAAGGTGACTGAAGACTCATCTTTCACCAACTGAATGAAGCTCTCCAATGTTGCATTTCTAACAAAATCCCCCTCCCCCATATCCTTGTAACAACTTGTTTTTCAAACGCAGCAGTCTGGCCAACAATCGTGACCACTTAGAAATGACTTTTCCAGCTTTGACAGAGAGTTATTGTCCCTCCCATTTCCCAGATTATGTTTTGCCATAATTTCTAGCATGATGCTGTGCATAAAATGGCATTTAAAAATACTTGTAACAAACAACTGAACTTTAAACTCTACATTACCTGTATGCGTATATATCCCAAACATAAATACAGAACAAAGTAAATATATTTGTATAAATAAAAATGACACGCATTCCATCTAAGAGCTCTTACTACAGAAGTACATTGGGTTGAGAATTGTTCCCTTTGTTTTCTCTGGACAAATTCACAGGTGAACATTGCCTCCCCACCAGCAGGTCTTTATTCTAAAAGTGAATAATGTAACTTTTCAGAATGAAGCTATAAAGAATAAACAATTGTCATGAACCATCAGAGATGGGAAGAAGTGGGCATCTGCTACAGACAAATAAATGCCCGCTGCAGCACATCTTCAATAATGGTATTAATGGAACTAGTCCTTGCTAAGCTACAAATGCTTTACACAAAATTACACATAAATATCAAACGTACTTTAAAAGCGTTGTTTAGGACTAAAAACTACTTTCCCGACACGGGTTGAACAGAAATTGACTTCTGTACCAGTACTAGCTGAAGGTCTCTGGTGTAACAAATATACACTACTTTCTTCTTCCTAAAACCACTATCACAGTTACAGACAGATGTACACGGTGCCTCGGCACAGTTGATAGGCACAACTTGTCGAGATCTCTCCGGTTAGTTTACAGCGTATGCATTTGAGGCCGGCTGGTGAAGTTTTTCTCCATTCGTCCAAAGCTGGACACTCCTTCAATTGCTGCTACTCCCCAGGGATTTATGGGTTCTCAGGAGAGATGAGAGTTTTGCTGCCAGTGGTCGCGTTTTGCTCAAATGGCGACACGGTGGATGTTTGTGTCTGGAGACTGTCAGTCATGATGGCATTGTGCCTTGCTGTCCATACCCACGAGAGTGTGCTGTATATCCCTAATTCTACGACCAGAATTTGCTTCATGCGCACAGGTGGTACGTACCATTTAAATTTCTCATTAATAGGGTATTGTGACTTGCCAAAATGAAAGCTTCTGTCAAGTTTAAGAACATGTACGCCAGCACAGTGCCAACGACCAAGTATAGTTCTTAACTATATTTGGTTGTTGAACTGTTCCAACAGTTATTCCAATTTTAGTAGGCAAGTTTTTGAAACGGAAAAAAGTTCACTTTTGCTTGGTAAACATCCATAAGTTGGGCAAGAAGCCTCAAAAATGTCCATCACAAATCCAGGTGGCAAAAACCTTGTTTTCGTTTCTATCACAACATTAGAGCACAACATTAACCACGAGTAGATCCAACTAGGTTCGGGCAGGCCGAACTCAGGATGCACCGCCCCTCGTGGAAGGCAAAGCCTGCTGGGCACTGGCAGCGAGCCACGCAGGGCAGCCGCCGGCACAGCTCCCTCAGCTGGGCCGTGTTGTAGCAGGTCTCTAGGCAGGGCGGGCCACAGTCATCAAAGATCATGGTCTCCGGGCAGTCTATACCTGTGGTGGAGGAGATACAAAACAAGGTTGCCCAATAGAGAGATTTCACATTAGCCCTGACTGCGCATATCCACATCGAAACCGAGGCTCTCTGTGTTAGACTTCATCGCGCGTGCCCGCGGAGTCGACACGCTACATGCAGTATCCGTTTCGTTAGTGTGATGCCACTTCAGTTTAAACCAGGCCCACTGCACATGCAGACACACAACCATCACAGGTACATTGGTTTGCAGTAACATTGCCGTTATTTTTTCTTTTGATTTTACGTGTCGAGTCATCCTGAAAGACTCTTCCACCAAAATTTGCAGCCTGAAAAGTCTGAATTTAACATACCTTTAAGTATTTTGTGTCTTGACTCCTTACTTTCAATCGTCTGATCGTACTAAGAATTGAATCTGACACATTCAGCCTCGTTTTCAAACACGGAAGTGCACAGATCAACGCTAAAAGCATCGTATTGGGATCCCTCTATGGCATGAGTTTTGTTATGTCAAACCCTCTGGATTAAGTATGTGAACTGTTTGAGCATAAAATGCAAATGAACTTTCAAACTGAAAAAGTTAAGACAAGAAAACAAGTAGTATGCTAGTTTCACTGAATGCGACAAAAATGTGGCCAAGCCAATGCAGTGAGGGAACAATTGCCAGTACTGGGTCGAAAGCCATTTTTATACTTTTTATATTTTTTCATGCATAAAGGAAATCAACACACTGTGAATGTTTTCAGCCACATTTTTCACTACACCAAATTAACCACTTCCTGCCGGGAGTTCGGGTACCGGAGACCTTAGGTTTGTACACTTAACCGGAGTTCCCGAAATCAGACAAAGGAGCTGGGCCTTGAAACGAAAGACCGGGCTGTTGGGAATTGCCAACATTTTTCAGTTGTCAATGGCGGAGGTAATCCGTCATTGTTTTGAAACAGTATGCCACTGTTTGTGGCATTCAGTGCAAGCGGATTCTGACCGGGGACAAAAGTGCTCCTGCGCTCCAGCGATGCATGATACAATACCATTGCATGCTAATTTGGCCGCATTTGAAAAAAAAAACGCCAGCAGCGCACTGGGCCAGTTTTGAGAATAAAAGAAAATTATGCAACACTGCAAAATCTGGGCTCTCTTTACAAGGCGACGGGCCTGGCTGAAATTCTCGGGCATCAATAGAGGTTGCCCGTCAGATTAGAGTTGAACCAGACAGTCATTCATGTGGGCGTAAACATCCAGTATTTGAAGTTCCAAAGATATGTAATATGATAGTATATGAAGTTATAAACTTTCAAAGAATTTTGAAAACGGAAAACCTTGAAAATCCCCCGGGAAGTTGTCATGCAACTTCAAATTAAACCCGGCAACATATGGTTAATCAATGCATTAATGCATAGGCCGAATATGCTGTTGGTATTCAAAGTGGAAGAAACAGAGAGACCCATTCTCACTGCTATTAAAGACAAATGACGCAAATTAAACTTGATGTCTGAAAACATTTGTGATGAAGTTCGCCCAAGTGAAATGTGTTCAACTTTTGCGGCAAGGATACTTACTGTGATGTCACAAATACTAATAACAATGGCAAAGTTACAAATACAAGTAGAAGTTTATGCGCAATTTTCAGCCGCTGAAACAAATTGTGTTTCTCACAAATCATTCCATTCCTCTGAAGCCCATCAACTCTGAACTGATGGAAAATAAACATGCATACCACAGATGGTGCTATTTCTCCACTCTCTGACAATGATTCCGTTCCGCTTGCACTCTTGGGCATAGGCCGCGATAGCCTCACAGTAGCATGGCTCGTTGCCCCCGCACACGCAGGCGTCCTGCTGGCACAGCTCGTAAAACCTCCGCGGGTCCACAACGCCACGGCACTTGGCAAACGTCGCCTGCTTCAAGACGTCACACTTGGCGCGCACCTCCCGCCAGGTGCGGTAGGTCAGCGAAGCGCAGGCCGGCAGACGGCCAACGAGCTGTCGCGGCAGGGACAGAGCCTCGGGTGCAGAGGCAGCCGAGAGGAAGCAGTGCTCATAGCCATTGACCTTCCAGCTGTGGATAAACTCCAGCATGCTCCGGCTGGGTAGCTGATGCTTTGTCAGACTGTCGTCCTCCACTCTACCATTGAAGTTGCCGCAGAGACCGCACAGCTGTCTCCTGAATGACTGCTGAACCGAAACCTCCACCCCTCCGTCCATGCCCCACGAGACTTCCAGCCCCTTGCCTGAAACAACCTTGATGCGGTCACCGTGGCTACTGTAAATCTGTATCCCCAAATGATCACTAATGGCAAATGGCAAAGTTACTGGTCTACCATCAACTTTCACACCTTGTGGCACGAGTTCAACTTTCACTCCATTCAGGTAGATGAAAACGATTTTCTGAGATGTCTCTGTTGTGGGAGAAGAATTTTTATGTTCCAATTCAAGATGGACGCTGAAGCTACCCGTGGAGCAATCCTGGGCCATAGTGTAGCGACAGTTACCATAGAAACGGAAGGAGTGAAAATCAAAGGACTCAAAATTTCCCTGAGGGTCGACAGTACAAGATGCCATGTCTGAAACATAAACATAAATAAATACAAGTATCTCCGAAAAATCAAACAACGTCGAATAAATCATGAAGAGTTCAAACAAAGGTTGGGATATTACGAACTAAAAGAAAATCTACACAGTTCTGTGTTATGTACTTCTATTTTTATAATATTTCCAGTTTCTTTATTGCAATAATTACCATCTGATATTGTTTGGACTGTGCTATGTTTTGCCTGATATGCTGAGCAGATCGGGCAACAGAAACCGGGCTCCCTTACGGGTGTCTGTCCCTGTAACCAGAACAACAAACAGTGTGAACCACAACTACCTCTTAAAAAAAAGTTTCCTGTCACAAGTGTCTTCCGCCTAACTAGCAACATGGTGTGAAGGAGGACGCAGGAATCTTGAAGTTCTTTAGCTGGTATAACGGAAAGGATGCCTCATGCCCAATTTTGTGGTGGATCTTCAAGACTGGCAGTTCACATGCATCTGTGTGGCCATGAGTCCCACTGTGGGACCAAGGTCATTGCAAAGAATGGCAGTTTGAATTCCACTGTGGGACCCCAGTCATCCCAACAGTGGGGAGGGGGGGTTTGAATCCCATTCTAGGACCATGGTAACTACAGAAAGTGCAGGTCCACCACCTGCTGATAGAAACGATGTGAAGTATTCAAGAGGCTGCAGGTTCAACTTCCTATTTTTTTCTTTTTCTACCCCAAAAGTGACTGCTTTTTTCATTTTGCATGCACCACCGACCTTTGGACACACTGGAACAGAGCATGTCACTGGCATGCATGTGGCTTTCCCGCTTACGCACTGGCAATGTGTACAGCCTTCTTCCCAGTCTTCATTGGCCTGTACATATGTGAAGATTAAAATATGCAATACACCTGTAAAGAGTGTCAATAACTATTTGTTTTATTGTTACAGGCTTGGCTCAAAATAATGCAAGTATTGTTTGACAAAAAAATGGACAAAAACATAGTCACTTTTATTGTCTTCAGAGATAAGATATGGTTATCAAAAACATCACTTACCAATTTGAATTGGGGAAAGACTCCAAATTGCTGAATAGGAAAAAATCACATCCCCTTAAAAAGCAAAAACCTTTTCCCAGCTGGCCCTAAGCAATACCCCTGACTGTTGGATCACTTTCACATTTTTTTCTTCAATGAAAGACGGTTAACTTTGGTAGGTATCAGTGAAAGCCAACTTTATACTCATATGCAAATGTCCACTCAAGGGTAACAGAAAAACATCTAGACTGACACTGACTAAAAATGACGATACCTGCCGTATGATACCGTTGTGCCTGCAGTGCCGTAAATCTATGATAAAAAAAACAGCAATCATTCACACAACTAATAATAAACATTACAGACTTCTACAGCACTCCTATCGAGAAAACTAAAAAGGCACCTACTCATTGTTATCAAAACTATTACTATCAAATATTCATGTCTACTGTAATGACGTTTCTGTAAGGCCAAACATGATCAAATTTTCACCGCTTTATAGCCAGTTAACATTGGATTTTGACCCAACCAAGCACGAAAATAAAAAAGAATTCTGAAATGAGTGTACACGTCCTCCATGCAACGAATAAAAAAAACGTTGTGTTTACACGTCATCTGGCATCAAGTGGTTAACTAGAAAAAAATCAATCTTTGACCTCATACTGAATTTGAGTGTTTATATCAGTAAAATCTGAGAACATAAAATTCACTCAAAATAACTCACAAAACTTCACCTCCCCTAAAAAAAATTTAAGTGAAATCATTGACCATATCCCACAAAAAATATTAAAAGGTAAATAATATTAATTTTTTTGCACTGGGAATATGAATTTTTCATACATGAGTCACCGAGTGTATCCACTCCAGAAAAAAAAATTGGGTGAAGCAGCTAATTCCAATGTACAAGTTTTTATTATGGCATAGCAAGGATATTAAAAAAAAACCACAGTCAACAGGGATGATGGCGATCAACTGTCAGTTGGACTGATTGCTCATGCTATTCATACATGCCATAAAGTGCAGGCCCGGAAATGTAATTATTATTGCAGAGGCAAAAAAGGGAGATGTTCTCTCTGGCGGAAGTTGGATTGAAATCAGCAAACCGCGAGTTTTTACTTAACAAGAAAACTGAGAAAATGCGCAAAAGAATGTCTAATATTCAATGAGAACAAAAGGGAGGATGCTACCGTATTCTAATTCAGCGCTTAAAATGCGGGGTGAAACTGTGAGAACCGTGTTCGGCTGCAAGAGGGCGCTACTCAAAGTTATCTACGCAGAGCCGTGTACATACAGCGCACATGATGCGCCGCATGTTCTGTGAAAGTACAATGATGCAGTTGAAATGGAATGATAGGAATGCAATGTGACTCAAAGAAAAGGAACCAGTGTCAGGTGAGAGTAGGGCGAAAACTCGACCTGGTTACACAAGGTTCAACCATTACACCGAGGTATATATATATGCATGTATTCACATTGTATTCTCAGTATGGCATTCTTACCAGCACACGACTTGCCATCTGACTGAAGAACAAAGCCTGCGCTGCAATCACAACGGTAACTGCCCCGCGTGTTGACACACGCATGGTCGCAGCCACCATTTTGGACGAGACATTCATTGACATCTGCAGAAAGGCCATACAGAGAGATGACTTTGGGCAGAACCCCAGTTTAATACCAAACAGGCAAAATTTCTCAAATCGAGAACCTTTGAAATGCCATAATGGGGCTCTGCCAGCTAAAGCTTTCCACTGTTTGCACAGCTGTCACGCCAAGGATTAATTTGAAGGATAAGCAATCAAACTGAAACTGCCCTGTGCAAAAACACCACACCTCCAAGTGCGTGGAGCAACTTTGGCCCTCAGTGCCCAAAAGAAGTGCTTTCCAGCTGATTCTGTTTTTGAAATTCACATATTCTTTTTGAACTTTAGAATACATATTTGTTTTAGAAAGCCATCGAGAGGGATAAAAGTAAAACATGCAGCACATTTGTGAAACTATGACTGCGTCGTTCTTGGAGCTTGTTCAAATCAGTTCAATGTCACTGTGGACACAGCCTGGTTGCACCAAGGGGGATTTACAAGTGCACATCGGAGGACTCACCCAGATTGCACACAGGCCCTCTGAAGCCAACTGGACACGTGCAAAGTGGCATGTTACCCTCCCCCACGTCACATGACCCGCCGTTCCTGCAATGGAGTTGCTCACACGGGTGCATGGCCACTTCACATCTTGGCCCTGATTGGGTTGAAAAAAAAAAAGAGGTGGCGATCCAAAACCGTCCCAAGAAAGCGGTATCGTGGTCTAATCTGCCACAGCTACTTGTGAATTCTCAATACGTAAGATGAAGAAGATTTAAGCCTACCAGTGGTGGATTAAAACAGGGAGGGGGGTGAACCCGCATATTTCAGGGAAGGGCACATTTCAGTGACAATTTTTGTATTAGTACACGTAACCTGCTGAGGGAAAAACAAGGAAATAACACCTTTCTTCCTCCCCAAACGAATTTAAAAATAGGAGTAGGTCCCCCTCCCCAGGATCCACTGCTACCTACCAGCATTGCACACAATATTTGGCTGCAATAAATTGCATTCAACTTAAACTGGATTTCATAATTATTCATTCGGTTATCATTCGCCACTTAGAATTCAACGTCATCCCAACGGCCAGCAGGTGTACTGCAACTCATGCTGTGTGATGGAGTCTTACCAGTGAAACCTTCAATGCACTGGCACACCGGTCCCGTTGGCCCGTCGTGGCACAGCCCGCCATTCAAGCACGTGCTTCTCTTGCAGCTGGTGCTAGCCGCCTGGCAGGCATGGCCTTCAAACCCGTCGGCGCAGTCGCAGGTATAGTTGTGGACCAGGTCGCGGCAGGTGGCACCGTTCCGGCACGGTGAGGAAGCGCAGTCATCAATTTCTGTTGGCGTGAGTCAAAACACTTTTGCCTAATATGCGTGAGGGAGTGGGGTCTAGGACTCAGGGTTTGCCACCCATAAAAGGGATCAGGTTGTGACCTTGGGCACCCTGCATCACCCCTATTTGCCCCTCTCTGCTATGATGACTAAATGGGTACCCACATTAGCTGAGAGCACATAGTGATGGACCAGCATCTCATCCAGAGGGAATGGAAATATCCTTGGCCCTTTCACGCCTCAGAAACCAGAGACAAACGCTGGCCTCATGGGCCACTTTGACTTGTGACGGACTTCAATGTCAACTGCAATTTTTCCATCCGTCACTGGATGGCCGGGTGCCAATGACAGTTCCGACTTGCGACAACAAAAATACTGAATTTCGACTCACTTCTGCAGATTTGTGATGGCTGACGTCGGTACACAGTGAGCCTGTCTTGTAGAGCCTGTGGCCATGCCACTGCATCTCCTATAGCCCCGCAACTGCCATACAAACTCAGTATCTCTGCATCACTCATGGCAAACTGCCAGATGTTCACCTGGTACGTTGCACGGTTGAAACAAGGCAAAGTAAAATCCAGCTATATGTACGTGGGGAAGGTCTTTTCTCGTTTCTGAAATTCTATTTTCACTCTGACGCGATCCGGGCCATTCGCTTTTGTTTATTCATAAACATCATCAACATGGCTTTCCAGTCAGAGAAGTCATAAACCCAGCCTTCATTTCAAACAAAATTACCAAGATTGCAGGGGTCACGTTACAGTAATTTCAATGTTTACAAGCACACCATGTGAGTTACCATAATGCTACTTCTGTAATTTAACAGGGAGGAAAATTGTAATAGCAATTGCCACCCAATGAAATCTCGGAAGAATTGAGTCTGTTACCTGCCCTTATACAATGTGGTATCCAATCTCTATTTGAACAATTAAATCAAGCACAGCCAGCTTTGACCTTTAACAAATGGCTCCAAACTATCATACAGCCATGATCTTTTGTGATGATAGAAACTAAGCAAATTACACAAGCAGCATGAATATGTAAATCAACAATGAAACTTTCGGCCAATAGGAGACCACGCCTTGACATAAAAATGCAAAACCATCAATAGAAATGCAAGACTGTTACCACACCTGACTCAAGCGACCGACAAAGCTACCAGACGTTTCTTCCTGCTCATGTATCCCATCATGCTCTCTGCCAAGGGTCAGCAAGCCACCGCCGGGTATGAAGCGACCGGTCTGTAGTCCAGTGCCCTGTCTCCTAAGTGAGCCGTCAAAGTAGAAACGCCAGTTCCCTGACTCGGCCTTCCAGGTGAAGGCGATATGATGCCAATCAGCCTCCCTTCGCAATAAACACACAATGAACATTCCAATTTTTTGCAAAGAGGGTGTGGATTAGGGCAAGGCGGAGGCTTGAAACAAGATATCACACTATGAACATCTGACAAAAGAAGTACAGTGCAATAATAACTGACGCTCATTGTTCATTGCGTCAGCTAAAGCTTTAGAAAAGTTCCATACCTTCAAGATAATAACATGCAGTGAAGAATTTGCTGCACAGAAAACTGCATGATACTATTTCTGTTTAAAATGTGAAGAAGACTCATTTCAGTATTTCTTAACTAAAACTAAAGCATCATTTGAACTCACTCCAATGACCTGGAGCTACTTAAAACCCTCAAATGAGCAGGCATGTAAAGAGACCTTCACACAAATGATGTAGTTTGATTCCCTGGACCTCGTAGCAAACACCAGCTGGCCGAGATTCCAGGACTTTATAAGTTGGGCTTCTGTATACTCTTTGAAAATGAGTCTTAAGTCGCCAAAGCCACTTTGGAGTAAAAAGTCCTTTAGAATAATTTTGCACAGTGTAAATCCATAGGAACCCACAGCATTTTTCACCATGGAGTATCCACTTTCATCAGGATGCCATACTGAGTGATACATCAAAACAAAAAGCTCAATTTGCTCTTTCAAATACAAATGAAAACTCAAAAACTGGCTGTAACAACTTAAGACTTATTATCACAGAGTGGGTTACATATGTAATTCGCAGGATGTATGCTTGTGCTGAAATACATGGGGATTCCTATTACATCACTACATGCTTCTGCACCATTCACCTCTCAATACATAACATGTTGCTGATGTACTTACGTTTCAGTTTCCAGAAACACATACATTTATAAACACAGAAACAGACTGTAAATTGGGTGCTGTTTCTCTCATGCTTTTAACCAATCAAAAACAGCTATCATTTTGTACCCTTCTGGCATGAAATTTGTTTCAACCACTTGACTGTTCACTTGAACAACCAGGTTGCCGTAGTCTCGTAGACTCAGCGCGACATTCATGGTTCCCTGTTCTGTGGTAGACTGGCGGCTCGGCTCGTTGTACACGACGTAAGATAGGAGGGGCCCAGTCAGGGCCCTGTCCTCGGGCCGTATCCACAGTGACAGGGTCAACTCGTGCAGGTCAGGCTGCAAGTGAATGAGGTTGGTGACCGGCAAGGTTGACGGTCCGAATATGAGATCGAAGTCGGAGGAGAGTCCTGACGGTAAAGGCAAAAAATGTGATTCTAAAGGAAAAGAATTAACATGAGGGGAGGAAATCGCGCATGGAAATAGGCAAGAGGATTGTCAACAACACACAGATTGACACTTTTATTCCCTTTCAGAAAGTCCTTTTAACAAAAGGTCCAACAAAATGGTGAAAACATCTTTCCACTTTTTGGTTGTTTATTTTATTTTGATTAAACGTTTTGTACATTGAATAGCCACATTTTGTGAAGTCCATTACCTTTGACACAGCATTCCCTCCATATTCAGGAGTGCATCTGCCCAGTACACCAGTGTACTCATGAGTTACCCCAGGCTGTTCAGGCAAGACTTAAAATACTGCCTATGATCGTCAAATTATCAAGGAACAGCAGTGCCACATTTCAGCGAGCCTTGATGTCATGGCCTGACCCAAGTGTCAGCTCATTGAAATGCGGCCACTTATGGTGGCTACAGCTGCTTCCCCTACACATGTGTGTTACTGCCAGCCACAGCCGGTTTGATGTGGACAAGGACTTCACTGTCTGTATTTGACCCTTGTTTGCCTCAATGAGCCATGTGACACCACAACAGCACTGGTCACCTTGCAGACAAAAAAGCATGGTTATTCCTGGCACTTACTCAGTTGGCAGTTTCCGCCTGAGTAGCCCGGTGCGCACCGACAGACGAAACCGTCCACCCGGTCCTCGCACACGGCACCGTTCATGCATTCCTCCATGTGCTCCAAACAATCGTCGATGTCTTCCTCGCAGAGGACCCCTCGGTAACCACGGCGACAGAGACAATGGAAGCTTTCCCTATCACTCGGGATGCACCGTCCGTCATTCTGACACGGACGAGAGTCACAGGGGCTTATCCATTCCTCACAGCGGTTCCCGCGGTAACCATCCTGGCAATAGCAACTGAAACCCTACGGTAACAGAAAAAAACAATCAAAAATTGATGTTGAAGCAAACCTTCCCAGATCTCTGAACATCCATCATGGGGTTGGGAACACTAGTTTTACAATAGCACAAGAAATAGCAGTCAATATTTGTTTTGTAAAAGTTCGCCCACCGTTTTAGAGACATGATAATAAATGAATAGAAAAACTCTGCATTAGAAGAATTTGTAGGATTGAAGAACATGCCGTCGCACCTCATTGATAAGAAGTTCTTAAGACTTTCCAGATTACCTAGTTATAGAAGGAACCTCATATTATTAGGAATGAAAACAAATAAAGAAAAAAACAGGTCGGGATTTTTCTTGTTATAAGCATCCTTTATCAATGTTCAACTATTTATGCTTCTTAACACTACTAGCAAATCTCAGAATAAATATGCTCCGATACAACAAATAAGACTCCGGGTTTTGTGTCCTATCGTTGCATTATTTGTTCTTGTTTTATTTACCCTTGGTAGGTCTTGACACTCGGCCCCGTTGAGGCACGGACTGGAAGCACAGTCGTCAAAGTTGATCTCACAAGTCAAACCCGTGAAGCCGTCGGGACACTCGCACATGTAGGAGTTGACGTCATCGTGGCAGATGCCTTCGTTCAGACATGGCGCTGAAAGAAGAGAATCACATGAGACGGCCTAAACTTCAGAGAAGGGCTGAGCTTACCAGCTTCCAAAGAAATCCTGTCATTTAGTTGTTTCTCCTGAAAGGATAGTTTGTGTTTGCTTGCGACTGTGATTTGGGCCTCATGCGCTAGCAGAATACCTTAAAAAGATCAATGGAGGGAAATAGGGGAGCACCTTCACTCTCAGCTCGTTTTTAACAATGTTCCTCTTATTTCCTAAAGGTTTCTGCCAGTGGACATCTAGCATACTGTAGCATAGACCTGTGGTAAGTAACCCAACATGCACATCAAAAAAAGTGGGTCTTAGGGAGCGTTTCATAATTGTTGAAGGCAGTATTTACTGCGGTACCGCTGGTTTTTTTAGCGGCACCGCACTAGTTACCCGAAAGGGCTTAATGCTGGTACCGCAAAAAAACAGCGGTACTGCAGTAAGTACCGCTTTCTGTAATTAAGAAACGTTCCCTTGTTCTTTCTTAGTTTTATTACCTAATACCTCCTTCTGAAATGTTAGTGAAATCACAGATCACTTTCTTTCCTTTTTTTAAACAACGTGCTTAAGTAGACAATTTAATGTGAAATAATGGTCGAATGACCTCTGACACCAACTCACCAGATGCACACTCATCAACATTCACCTCACAGTTCTTCCCAGTGAACCCTGGTACACACGTGCACGAGTAGTTCCGATTGCCGTCGACACACTTCCCTCCGTTCTGGCAGGGCCGAGAGAAACAGTCGTCCAGAGGAACCTCGCAGCGCCGACCCGCAAACCCGCGAGGGCACCGACACCAGAATGTATTCGGTCCGTCCAAGCACCTGCCTCTGTTTTGGCACGGGCTGGACTGGCACTCATTAATGTTGGTCTGGCAGCGTACACCGGTGAAGCCTGCAGGGCACGTGCAGGTGAATTGGTCAACGCCGTCCACGCAACTGCCTCTGTTTTTGCAGGGTTGGGAAATGCAATCGTCTATGTTCACTTGGCAGAGATGACCGGCAAATCCACGCGGGCAGACACAGTTGAATGCATTGACACCATCCATGCACCTGCCGCCATTGACACACGGACTGGCATCACAGTCATCGATATTTATCCCGCACGAGGGGCCGGTAAATCCAGGCGAGCAAACGCAGCTGAAAGAGTTGACACCGTCGATGCATCTGCCGCCGTTCTGGCACGGTGCGGAGGCACAATCGTCGGCGTTTGTCTCGCACAGACTGCCAGTGTATCCGCTGAGACACCTGCACTCAAAGTGGTTGGTGAGGTCCAAGCAGGTCCCCCCATTCTGGCAAGGCTGCGATTCGCATTCGTTGATGTCACTCTCGCATAAGACACCTTCAAACCCATCCTCGCAAGTACAGGAATACCCATCCACACCATCCAGGCACTGGCCACCATTTTGACAGGGATTGCTATCGCACTCATCAATATCAACGTGGCACAGGCCACCAGCAAAACCAGGAAGACAACGGCAAACGAAACCATCCACAGCATCCACACACAAAGCCCCATTCCTACAGGGCTCCCCCTGGCAGTCATCAATGTTAATCTCGCACGTGGTGCCTGTGAAGCCGGCCGCACACTGACAGACAAATGCACCCACCCCATCCAGGCAAGTACCCCCATCTCCGCACTGTACACCACTGCAATCGTCCATGTCAACCTCGCACAGAGCCCCGGTGAATCCTGGGACACACTGGCAGAAGAACTCCTCCACATAGTCGATGCAGCTTCCCCCATTTCTACACTGTACACCGAGGCAGTCATCGACATTTGTCTCACAGGTCTTCCCGACAAAACCCGCTCTACACTGGCACTGGAAATCATTGACCCCATCCACACAAAGACCGCCATTTCTACACGGTCTGCCACTGCAATCATCGATATCAACTTCACAATTCTTACCAGTGAAACCTTCCAGGCAGAGACAGGAATAATCGTTCATTCTGTCGACACATGCAGCCCCGTTGTCACAGGGGGCACTGCGGCAGTCGTCTACATTGATCTGACACTCGGCACCAATAAAACCCTCCAGGCAAGCGCACCTGTAACCGTTCACACCATCCCTGCATGACCCACCATTCTGACACGGCATACTGACACAGTCATCGATATTAACCCCGCATCGCTCACTGGTGTAGCCTGGACGACAGATGCACACTGGTCTCATGGACTGGTCTTGACATGATCCACCATTCAGGCAGAGGTGAGCATGGCAGACATCTTGGATTTCACACGTATCCCCGTAATAGCCTGGCTGACAAGAACATCTGAAACCCTACAGAGAAAAATTCCACCATTTGTAGTTTTTTCATCAAAATTTTTACTGCTGCTTACATGTAAGAATGCTGCACCATCTTTACATGGTTTACGGAACAAATTCTGAGAAAGGTAAGTCTGTCATACACTACAGCAAACAATTAAAGTCAAGAATTACAAACTTGGTACATTGAATAGACTAGACAATTTTGATGCTACCCCTGATCTGCAGGACTATTCTCATTTCTGCTATACTTGAGGCAAATGCCTTCCTTGCTCCTTCACTCGAAATTCGGAAAAGAGATGAGTTAAAAAAGTTAAACCACATGCCTCCATTCTTAAACATACGCCCCCCAGCACCCTCCCTTTGAAGAACACTGCTGTTTCCCACTGACAAATACAGGACGGAAATTGTGTTTAATAGGTGCGAGTGTCCTTCTCTTACAGCTGAGACGTCCTCTTCACAGACGCCGCCGTGTCGGCACGGGCTTGACTTGCACGGATTCACAACCACATCACAGTGGGTTCCGCTGTAGCCATCAGCGCACTCACACCTATAGCCATTCACAAGATCGTGGCACGTTGCGTTATGCTGACACGGACCTGAGGCAAGAAGGAGAAAACGTCTGCCGTTACTTTCCAGGTACAAAACATCAAGACACGAAGACGCAAACGGGCCAAGTGGGCAACTGGAGCAGTTTCAACCAAAGTGTTATTGACTAGATTCTTGTCTCAACACCCACTTGTAATTTTTGTAAGGGCAAGCGGACAGCTGAGAATTACTTGCAATTAATGAGAATTGCTAGTAAAAGACACTCAAATTTCTTTTTCTTTTAGGATTCAAAACCTTATCCTCCTGTTTGCTCGATGGTCTGTCACAATAAATACTTGACAGGGGAACACAAACTGGAACCCCTGAGCAAAAATCATTAGAAATGGAAATGAGCCGCACTTTACACGTCCGACAGTGTTGCATCGAGTTTATTACTAGTCCTTTCGTATGACCAGTCACAAGCAACGGAGCAAACAACTATAAAGAAATGCTTCTATTACATTTCATTTGAATAGCTTCCAACGGGATTCAAGACTGGATCACGTGTGAGGGACTTGTGATGGATTTGCCGGGACTTAACTGTGATGAATTTGAGTACTAACGTACATCTTTTCTAATAACCCAAATCAAAATGAGAAAAATATATAAAACAATAATATAAAAACAATGACAAAAAGAAATTCTTGCAACGCAGCTGAAATCTTCTCTTCTAAAAACAACACCTGACTGGCACTCGTTGATATCCATCTCACAGTCACGCCCAGTGAAGCCAGCCAGACAGTCGCACAGATAATCTGAGATGTCATTGGTGCAGCTTCCTTCATTCTGGCAAGGTCTACTAGCGCAGAAATTCATGGCCGTCTCACAGAGGGCACCAGTGAAGCCGTCTGCACACAGACACCTTGCCGGGCCCTCGGGCTTGTCCTCGCACGTCCCTCCATTGGTGCAGTTGTGGTTCTCACACGGGGGGATCAGAGTCTCACAGTGAAGTCCTCGGAAGTTGCTGGGACAGGTGCAGTGATATCCCTTTGGTGTTAATGCACACAAGAAAACCAGAGGAGTGTAACTGGCATTCAGATACATGATTAAACACTACATAAAACAGCTTAGGCACTCTGCTATTAAGCAAAGTAACATGGCTGTGTTTCAGCAAATCATGATAAATCATAATGCTGACAGCATTGATTAAGAATGCTAGCACAATGCTTGGTCCAATTTTATAATGCTCCCAAGTTGAGTTATTTGCTGAGCAGCTCCGAGTCAACAGCTGTGTTCACATGTATTACTCCCCATACTCGCAGGTGCAGCAAAATGTGGCATGCACATTACTTTTGAATCGTACTGCCAAGTCAATGGCTACCTCTTTTGAAAAAACCACATGATGAGAGAGTAAACTCCAGGCTCAGAACCACAATTAAATCACATCAATGCAACTTCAGCTTGTACCCTCCCCCCTATTTTTATTAGCTAAGCAAATTCATATTCTACGCTCAGCAAAATCTATAATGAATTGGTCTAAGAAATTGGCCAAAGCACAAAACACAATCAAGAAAACCAGTCTCAGTAACTGGTTCCATTCAGAACAAATCCAAATTTCATGAGAGTCAGTCTCACTTTTTCCAGAGTCTCGCAAATGCCACTGTTGAGGCACGGTTCAAAGGCGCAGTAATCTTTGAGCTGGCAGTACCTGCCGCTGTGTCCCTCCGTGCACCGGCAGGTATAGGAATTGGTTCCGTCCACGCAAGTGGCCCCATTGCGGCACAAGTCTACAGCCAAGGAATCAAACAATTCACCATTCAATGTTACAGAAAAAATCATCAAGGCACAAACTGAAATTTAGACACCTATACACTTAGCCATGTGTTGTACTTTAGTCCCTCACAAGTCCCCACCAGTCCGTTACAAGTTATCCAGTCTTAAGCCAAGCCACAAGCTATTCAAGTAAGCCATGACAAAAATATTCCTATATGTCACTGTCAACCCTGTGACTTGAGACTGGGACTTCTGAACGGGCTCGTGAACCGAATTGTGACCGAGTTGATGACAACACTGTTGTTGCTCCTGTACATCTTATCAATGCTTAACCTGTGTTATTCTTGCAGTGGACAAGCAATTCCAATAGGATGTTTGCCGCAGACCAAATTTTCTTGAATAAATTCAAATTCGGGAATTAGACGAAGATAAAGTGGGAAGCATCAAGGAACAGTGGTAGCATCGAGCGAGTTGTACAAAAATTACCAACCTTTGATGAGTTTTCTTTAAAAAGCACGAAACAAAGATTTTGTATTACTGTTCAAAACAAAATAAAGTGCATAGCCTTGTCATTAGAGTAATACGAAATGGCTCACTTTTTTCACAATCGTCAACATCCAGTTCACAGTTGGTGCCCGTGTACCCGCGCCGACAGAAACATCGATAACCATTCACACCGTCTTTACATCGCCCTTTATTCACGCAGGGCCGGCTCCAACATTCATTGATATCAAACTCGCACACCCTGCCAGTGTACCCCGGTTTGCAATCGCAATGATAAGAATCAATATCGTCAATACAGCTGCCACCATTCCGGCACGGCTCCCTTAAACAGTTATCGATATTGGTCTCGCAGCGGGTCCCAGTGAAGCCTCGGGCACATGAACATGTGTAGCTGTTGACGCCGTCAACACATCGGCCACCGTTCATGCACGGCCTTCCAGCGCAGTCATCAATATTGAAGGTGCATCGGTCACCAGTGAACCCTTCAGCACAAACACAACGGAATGCATTGATCCCATCCAAGCAAGTTCCGCCATTGTCACACACGCCTTCGTGGCAGTCTTGAATGTTTGTTTCACAAAATCTCCCAGTAAAACCATCCCGGCATTCACACTGGAAACCATCCACCTCGTCAACGCAACTCCCGTTATTGACACAGAGAACTCCTGCACAGTCATCAATGTCAAGCTCGCACCGCTGGCCAGTAAACCCGGCAGCACACGTGCACCGTACATCGTTAATCCCGTCCACGCAACGCCCACCATTTTGACAAGGGTTGTCGTAGCAATCGTTGATGTTAATCTCACAATCACCGCCGGTAAAACCAACAGCGCATCGGCACCAGTAGCTGCCAACATCATCCACGCACGTCCCTCCATTATCGCAAAAGGCCCCTTGGCAATCATCAATGTCAACCTCGCAGTCTCTCCCGCTGTAACCCACGAGGCACTGACAGTGATAATTGGATCCTTCATTTGTACACACCGCGCCGTTCAGGCATGGTTTGGAAGCACAATGATCCACGATTCCTTCACACATTGCGCCAGAGAAACCTTCAGGACAATTGCAAGTAAAGAAGTTAACTCCATCAACACAAGTGGCTCCATTCATGCAAGGATCTGTGAGAAAATGAAAACAGAAAAAAACCATAAACCCTTAATCAAGCCTGCAGCAAAAGCAAAAAGACAGGAAAAAAATCCATTTGACAGGTACCCTAGTTCAGCTAACCTAATTAATTTTGTAATCAATTTTCCTCTTACACACATTTTGAATACTGTCTAAATGATGAATTAATTCCTATGAAAGCTATTCCTTGATAGGTTCGAACAAAAAAATGTGCAGAATAGCACAATTTCTTGCAATCTGGTTCCCCACCTGATTCACATTCATCAAGATTCACACCGCACAGGGCACCAGCAAAACCTGGCAGACAGTCGCAGCTGTAAGACGTAACGCCATCCACGCAACTCCCGCCATTGAGACAGTTCACCTTGGCGCAATTATCGATGTCAGTCTCGCAGGCCGCACCAGTGTAACCCAGCAGGCAACGGCACCAGGGCCCATCGCGTCGATTGACGCACACCCCGCCATTCAGGCAGGTGGACACGCTACAGCGCGGGATCGCGAGCGTCTCACACCGGGGGCCTCTGTATCTTTGGCCACAGTCACAGTGAAAACCCTGCAAATGTAACTAAACGATTACTACCACACCAGCTTCCTCTGACATTTGACTAGTACCCTCACATTAGCTGCAAAAAGTTTAACGAGCCAAGTCCCAATTCAAAAAGTAAGATAAGAATACTTGATCATCACCTTCATTAAATGGGGTATGAATTGTTGAAATCAAGTATTTCACAAAGTACTTGACAAGTATCTATCACTGGTCATCACAGCTACGGTCAACTATTTACAAAACATAGTCTACAAATGGCTTTGTTACAACTTATGCATGGATAGCTCTTATCTAATAATGAAACGCAGACACTTGTTACTTCTTGTGAACACTTGCGATAACCTGTGAAGCCAGTGCAAATTCTTGTAAAGACCTTGTGAAGAATTCAACCACAAAACTGCAGGTGCATTGTGGAAGTTGTGACCAGCAAGTGGGTTCTGACCTGTGAGTGGCTGATGCAGGTCCCCCCATTCTCACAAGGATCTGGGGTGCAATGATCAATACGCGTCTCGCAGTTGGTGCCCGTGTAGCCCTCCTCACACTGACAAGTGAAGGTACCAACACCATCTACGCACGTTGCATTATTGTCGCACGGCAAGGATAGACATTCATTCACGTCGTCCCGACAGTGTTCCCCGGAAAAACCTTTTGCACATGTGCAGTGCGGTCCACCGTCAAGGTCATGGCACGTTCCATTATTGTCACAGGGGTGGTTAGCACATCTGTCAATTTGGTTCTCACAAAAAGCACCTTCAAATTCTGGTCTACAGGAACAACTAAACCCCTGCAGTAATAAGGCAAAACACAGAATGACTTATGTGTGACTCACACATTTCAAAACATGAAAACTGCTTCATACTTCAATGAACCAGTTTTGTCTCCCAACAGCACATGCCCAAAATGAATTAGCGAGTCCGAGATCATTCAGACGCGCGTGCGAGGTCTGCCCTATCAGAGCACCTCTACGTGGATTCGCGCGCATGATTTGTTCCCAAACGACATTGCTTTTTTGAAATACCCAACTGGCTAAATGAATCCACATGCCCCCCCAAAAAATCTGTCCTGAAACATTCTCAGCAACACGGGCGTTTCACAGGAGTGCACCTCCAAGAGTTTGCAACACGTTGGCCAATCACAATGCGCAAAATCTGTCGACCCTGTGCACATTTGGAAATGGTCGACAAATTTTGCAAGCTGTGATTGGCCAACGAGGTGCAAACTCTTGGAGGCGCACTATTGTGAATCGCCTGTATTCACTGCTTTAAACTTCAGCGAGTGAGTTTTTCTGACATGCAGCTTTACCCACTCAGTGCTGTTTCTGGAATCATGAAAAGTGATCAACTGCAATCAAGTTTATGACTTTTTCTGGAATCATTTGACGTAAATCAATGAAAGCATCTGTAAACCAATAAACTTACTGCAACTCGGTCCACACAGGTAGCCCCGTTCTGGCAAGGCACGGATGCGCACTCATCAATGTCCTCTTCACAGTCAGATCCACTGTAGCCTTCCATACACTCACAGAGATACGAATTGATGCCGTCGTTACATGAGAGAGCATTAATGCACGGACCTGGGAAGTTTGAGCAGAAAAAAGTAAACAGTCTAGTACTGATTTACGGGTTTATTCACAGAGAATTGAGAACCGAGCATGTCATCAAGACAGAAGTCATGGGTGCAAAAGTAGGTATTTTGGTGTGTTGCTGAGCAAATGAAGAGAAGTTAGTCTGGTCACAAGACCATAACTGCTTACACATATGGATGGGGATCACTGTAAAGCACATTGGAAGCAATGCAATCTATACATAACAGTCTTTCAGTTTACAAGATGTCACGTGCACTGGTTTACAAGTGCATTGCTGATGTACTTGAAGTGATGACGTTTGATTTTTTTGCCTCCAGTGCCTTGCCACAGCAACGTCTCTCCTTCTGACATTGTTGGCTGACCATTCAAGCATCAAGTCCATTGAATTGCCCAGGGAAAGGGAGCTAACTGTTCCTCAACATTTACCTGATTGGCATTCATCTATGTCAACCTCACAATTTGTTCCCTCGAATCCCGGCGGACAGTCACACTGGTAACCGGCCACCTTGTCGTGGCACGTCCCGCCGTGCATGCAAAGTCCCTCTTGGCAGTCATCAATGTTTGTGTCACACAGGGCACCGGTGAAACCGGTGATGCACTGGCAGTAAGCATTTACATCCGACCTGACGATGCAAGTACCATTGTGTTGACATGGTCTCAGGTGGCAACTTGCTCGCTCTTGGCAAAGATTAAAGAGTAAAGAGAATATGGCGTTCACAATTTCAGTAAAATGAGAAAAAACTGCAATAAATAACAGGATAAAACTTCTTCACTAAAAAAAAGGAATAAAAAAAGAAAGTAAAAAATAAAATAGTTTCTATTCCCTCTCAACTTCTTTTTTTTTCAAATCCAGACCCCCCCCCTTTTTTTTCATTTTTTTGGTTTAATATGTAACATATTTTGGATTTTTGTTTGTTTCTAGAAAAAACATTCAGCTATAAATTCATGTTTAATGTGTTGCTGCAATGGATTTTTCTTATATGACGAAAACTCTTTTAAACACAGGTGTGGGCCAAAAAAACTCTATAAATTCCACCATTTGAAAACTATGTCATCTTGTAAAAGAAAAAGACAGCTATCCCACTTTTAAACCTGCAGGTGAGATTGACCCTTACCGATGCATGAGGTCACATCACTGGCCCCCAGCTCAATTGATGACATGCCATCAGGGCAAGGCAGGCAGGCATGCTGGCCCCTCATTGGTTGGTACCAGCCTGGTGCACATGGTATGCATGGCTGGTAGCCGGACATGGAGAATGATCCAGCATCACAAGGAACTACGGAAAGAAAAATAAATTCCAGGTGGGGTATGAAAAACAGCAGAATGCAATGGTAACAGAATTCAGAACATTGGGATGTTGACACAAGGAAAATCGCGTCGGCAAAATAATTATTAATGACAACTGACAATATATAGTGATGAAATGAAGGATAAAAGCATGAAAAGGCTTGGTCACAGAATTATTCCCAGTTTGACAACTATCTTAAAAGTACTGTGGCATAAACAGGACAAAGATTCCATTGTGCAATCGGAAATATCTGGGTACCCTACAGAAACAAACTTTCTGAAAGTTAAGGGGAGAATTTTTCTCCACCATGATATTCATAATGTTCATGGTTACATGTGGGAATAACTGTGATTTTCAGACACGTACACATGCAGTCATCCTGAGACAACGCCCCTTCATATTGCGTCATGGCATCCGCTGAGCACTGCAGACAGGATGTGGCGCCCTCTGTTGACTGAAACGTGTTCAGAGGACAGGCCAGGCAGGGCTCAAGACCTGTTAACGAGTATGTTCCTGCACGGCATGGACCTGCAGAAACAAAGCCAGAACAAACAAGCTTTAAAAGTGAAGCACACAGGAAACTCGTCCAAAGCGGTCTCTGTGGCTTTGTTAATTTTCAACTTTTCAATGTTGGGGGTTCCAATCCAGCTGGTGGCAGCATGTTGCGATCTTGGGCAAGTCACTTTACCCCATGTGCCTCTCTCCACCCAGGAGTAAATGGTATCTGTGAGGGCAGATCTGGTTATGCGCTTGATAGGGCAGCATCAGTTACTATACTCCCCACGGAGCTGAGATTTGTTTCAGGAATGTTCAGTTGCTGTGAGCCCAATGTGCAGGGATGATGATTATACAGCGCCTTGAGCATCAGTTGTGATGGATGTGTGTCTTTTTACTAATATCCACTATTATTATCATTGTTTCAGCAACCTTGAAATTAACGAAAGGGGTAACCTGAAATTCCCAAAATGACACATCTTGGCAGATTTTCTTTCACTTACTATGACAATGGACTGCTCGCCTTGCCCCATCGTCTGAGGTATTTGTACCCTCAGGGCAAGCCTTGCACGTCAATTGCCCCGTCTCATTCTGGAAAGTTCCATGTTCACACCTGATGCACTCATCCAAAACTGGTGAGTGGTAGGTTCCTACTGGGCACTCCACTAGAAAAAAAATCAAACAAGACGGATTCATGTCATGCCTGCACACAAAATCACAGAACATCCTCAGGAATTCACGCTAAAATCCTACGAGACCTGTAAGCTGTCCAATAGGTTTTAACTGGCATGGCATAGCATCCGGCTACAACTTTGGAAAGCTTGTCAAAAAGACTCATGAAAATGCGTTGGAAATATCCAAGGAGTCCAACAGAAGTTTTGTCTAGTCTTGCATCTCCTATCCATGGAACCATTTGCACAGAAGAGAACTTTACTATGGCCATATATGGGGACGTTTTCCCCTGACCGGTAGGTGGTAAATAGTTATGGCCATGTCCGAAATGAGCTTCCAGAGCTACGGCTAGGTCTGTTGTCTGTGCATCTCTGTTTACTTCCAATGGAGGAAACAAAGGGACCAAGCTCCAGACAACAGATGCGGATGCAGCCTTAGTTAAGAGACTTGGGCAATTTTACAAAGACACTGTGCATCCTTGCCCAATCTGCTGTTTCATGCTTACGCTTACTGTTGGGTGCATTATAGAATAGTTAAAGAATAAATTTATGAAAAATAATTCCAATAACAAGGAAGGGTTAATTTTCTGTTCTTAAAAGAATGCGGATCAGTTAGCCTTGGTAAGTTGAGGAGGAAGGACGTGGTTTGTGATAGACATAGAGAAACAAAGAAAAGAGATTTCATAAATGTAACCATTGGAAGTTAAGTGGTTTTTATTTGTTTAACAACATCCGAGAATATTGTCCGAATTTCCCTACACAACTTCACACAAACTTTTTCCCAGGACTGTGCTCCTGTTGTCCAGCTTTATGTAAATGTAAAAAATTGGCACCTTGTCACTTTCCATTATCACCTGTCTGAAAAGGGGCCCTCGTGGGATGAATTACATGGGGGCAATGTGTCAATGACCAGAAATGTTGTTGCTGGGAGCATGGAGGAAAGACACACAGGGAGTTACAACTCTGGTACTTAAAAGTGCTTCATGATCATCTCTGCCAGTCAGACAAACAACAGAAAACAGTCCAAAAATGCCTTGATTACTACATCCAGCTTAGCTGGACAAGTGGGACCTAGTGATACTTGATAAGGTGTTTTGCTTGCAATTAATTACAACTTGTGACCATGCACGTAGCTCCATATTGTGACCAGTAAATAGAGAAAAGTCCCTTAAGTTGGACCTACTTTTGCCATTGTAAATAAGCTGGTTCATTTTGATACACTGCTTCATTATCCATGTGTTTGTATGTTTATTCTATTCCTCCAAAATATTAGTTTTCAAAGACTTGCTACAACTAAGACTGGCCAACAACGTGTTGACCATCACTGGAAAGCTTAGTTCATAACAAACAAAATGCGCTATTTTATCACAAGGACTAAGGGGCGATCATGAGATCTCATAAAGTACATTTTTGTTTAAATGCTGTAATAAACATGATTAAAATAAATCACAAAATGTAACAAACCACTTGGCCTTTTTTTTTCAAAATAACTCCAGAAGAAAGCATTTGAAAAGGGCAATAACTGCACATGAACATTTACCTTGCATGGCCCAACACAGGCAACTGCGCAAGCAATAAATTATATATTGTTGTGAGATCATACCAAGCACCAATGAAAACATGAGTATTCAATTTCCTACAAAATCAACACAAAAAGTTTTGAGGAGGCACATTGCCAGTCAAAAATTGGGGTGATGATCACAGGGTTGAAAGGGATCTCATAGTTGTGACACAGATGATGTGTAGCAAGTGCTCGATGAGCTCTGGCTATGGACATATCAGTTATGCCAGAAAGTGGTAACTGGCCAGATGTTAAAGCCCGGGCAGTTCAAACTCCTAGTGTCCGTCCTCCATGCTGGAAGAAACCACACTCTCTTTCATTCATGTGTGGTTTTCCAAGGACAATACGGGTGATTCATAATAGTGTGCCTCCAAGAGTTTGCAACACGTTGGCCAATCACAACATGCGAAATCTGTCAACCCTTTTCAAATGCGCATTGGGTCAACAGATTTTGCGAATTGTGATTGGCCAACGTGTTGCAAACTCTTGGAGGCGCGCTATTGTGAATCGCCCGTATTGGCATCTTAGAGCAATGGAAGTGGTTTCACTAGGGGACAAAAAAACCCAACAAAAACCTCATGCAGGATCATGCAGAATGGCCTCAAAGACGTTCACTGCAACTTAGCCCCAGAACCCATCAGACAAATTCAGCAGTGAACAACAGTTGTGAGTTCAGAATTCTTCCCTTAGTTGTGATGTGAAATTATTTCTCATGCAAATTTCTACTGCTAATAATTTCTACTACGAATAAACCAAAATTGTATGAATTCAGGCCACTGGTTTTCCACCCAATGTAAAATACGACGTAGCATAACGCAATCCAGACTGTCATTCAGAAAGTGATTTGCACCATTACAACCCAGAGCTTTATTTATCAACACAACCTTCTGACCAACACAAGAGCAAACTAGATGTGCACATTGAAGGCGAAGGTAATTTTTCACTAAACAGCCAATTATGAAGGCATATATAATTATGCAACACGTGCCTCTCCCCATATGTGTGCCCTTTTGGAGAAGTGATTGACAAACCCAAATTACTTTTTGATTAAAAATATTCAGTTTCTCATTTCCAACTTAACAGCTGACAGACAATAGACGCTCCACAGGAAAGAATAGGAAAAAACACAAGCCTGGCAATCATCTCCACATTTATTACAGCTGTTCATGCTGGCAGCCACGTGAACTAGCCAATCACAGCAGTGAAATCTCAAGACCCATTGGCACAAAGACAGCTAGAAAATTGAAGCTATTTAGAAGCCGCACCCAACTTTCTCTGACAAATATTAAAAGAGCAGAGAGAACATGACATAGTCAGAACAGCACGATGCTCTCTGAGAGAATCACTGATCATCTGGACAGCCCCATTTGGGGAGTTCTATTACTCATAAGCATTGAAATTGGAAACAAAAAGCAACACTACTTACAACACATGACCAAAGTGAATGCAAGTCTTCAATTGAGACAGACTGGACCAAGATGAATTCAACCCCAGCATTTGGAGATCTCGACATGCAAAATGCATCTATGACAACCGCACCAGCAGATGACGCCAATTTCAAAGTCCTTCACATTGTCAACTGCATTCTTCTGGTGTTATCAACAATTCTGCTTCTGACATTAAACCCTTTGTGTCTCTCAATTCTGAGAAAGGTTGAGAACATCCAGGAAACGACCAAAATATTTCTCAGATCTTTAACAGCCGCTGACATCGGCATTGGGATTTTTCTAGCCTTACCAAACACTGTTGCAGCAATCACACAAACTAAAAACAAGGTCAAAGTACTTTGTGGTATACAAGCATTCATCAGCTGGGTTTGTATGAACAGTACACTGTTGTCACTCCTGTGCTTGACGGTGGACCGATTCGTAGCTGTGGTCTGGGCCCTGCGCTACCCTTCTCTTGTGACTGTAAAAGGAGCCCGGATCACCGTGTGCTGCATGTGGATGGTGGCCACTTTGATAGTTGTTGAGCAAGCCATTGTGGCACAGTGGACGCCACAGTATGTCGATTACATTTTTTCATGCCTCTTTAACCTTCCCGGGTCTGGCGTAATGAAACATGTGGCTGCAACACGCACATGTCTGACAATAATCTGTCTGTTGATAATACTGATAACGTACACCAGACTGTTCCTGATCTCACGCAAGCATGCTCGACGCATCACTGACGACAACCCAAATGCTCAAGGAGCAAGACCAGCAAACCGCATCCACACCAAGACCTTGAAGACAGTGCTCACCATCGTGATGTCCAGTTTTGTCTCCATGATGCTGCCCACGTTGTACTTTTCTCTAAAGTTATCGGAAAAGGGCATTACTGACAATTTAGCATCCATGCTGATGTATGTTCTGCCCACACTGACAAACAGCTGGTTCAACGTGTTTGTCTATTACCTACGCAACAAGGAATTCCGTGATGTGGCTCACCGACTCCTGACATCTTACTACCAACTTCTGCGAAAACATGCTCCCTTCTAAGCAACTACCACACAAACCAGGTGACAACATTAACCCTAACAGCCCTGAATCCTCCAATTTTAATAGGATTTTGCACACGCCCTGGGTAGTTAGGGTTAAGTAACCTTCAAACGCAATGTGTTTGAATGTAATCAGCTATCAGTGTATGCTGTAAAAACGCACCCACCACAAATTTCCCTACGAACATTGGGAAATTCATTGCAAACAAGTCATTTGGAACGTTTTGTCATAAAGAGGCCAAATTCTCACCAGGGGGTAAATCCTAGGTTTCAAGAAAGTCACGTTTGAAGTTGGTCTCTTTTTCAAACGCTTATTTCCCCAGTATTTAGCATGCTTTTGACTTAACCAATGCTACTGCATCGAAAGAGGGGATCTTAAAATGAAACGAAAACTACAACAAAAATTCACACAAGTCAATTAAAATTGTTTATTTTGTAAACACACGTTTACCCTTCAAGTAAATGCAAAATGCAGTACAGTTGAATTTTGCCCCAGGTAGATAATCGTAATTTAACCTGATTTCAGTAGATTTGGTAGAAAATGATTACACCAGGTTGTAGGCATTGGACAGCCTGGTTGATTTTGAAAAAAAAAAGAAAAGAAAAGAAATTTGAAAAAAAATCATGATTTGGGGCCAAATTGTCTCTTTGTGAAAACAGTGACAATTTGAAGCAATACATCAAACATGCAATCACAATTACAAGTACATGTACATTATTTGGGCATTAAAGCATAATCTAGTCTTAGGGTAAGTCAAACTTTCCCCTGATCTTAGCCCAACTCAATTTTTAAACAGTAAATATGCTGAGGGAAGCTACAGTGACATTCTTATGTACCCATTTAGGCTGCTGACAGACTACCAAAACACAAAATGGTTGCACCATGATAGACAACCATTGCCTGGGTTATGCATTTGTGGCTTTTGAAGTTGTTGAAGAAGCCACTGAAGCAAA